ACGGGAGACCCACGCTGAACAATATCTTCAAGTATTACGACCACATGACTCACTGCGCCGACAATTGCTCAGTATAGCATCAAGACAGCAGCAACGATAACTCACCAACACTGAAGACGACGACTTGCTCAGCTGGGGCTCGGGACTGCAGACTATGTCGTCAACATCAACGGCTTTCAACAACCGCGTTGCATCCACACTGACTCAAATGTCTACGTGAACAACGACAGGACCGCCCCGCTGCCAACGCGGAGCTGCTTCCCGAGCCCTGCTCTTTCCATCTAGACGGCAACTCAGCGCAGACTGCGAAACTGAGCTGGAGCATGGCGGCAGGCAAGACGACCACTCACCTATAACTTCCAGCTTTGACGCGGCCAACCGGCGAAATCCCCTTCCATCCAGATGGCAAATCGGCACAGACTGGGAAAATAAGTTGGGGAACAGCGGCAGCAAGATGACGACTCACCGATAACCTCTGGCAGTATTGCCTCAACGCGACCAGAGCCGCCCAAGTCCTGCCCACCATCTAACGGCAGCTCAACCTTTTCAAGTCCTTCGAGCGCGGCATCGTGTCGCCAACACCGAGCTTTCCGACCCTCCACCGCCTAACGCTACCTCCTCGTTCCCTCCGCAATGACCCGCAGCCAACAACCTTGCCGCCCCTCGTCATCCGACCCGCTGCTCGCCCCAGGATTGCCGCGCCCGACACCAAAGTCAAGAATCTGCGACGAAGACATCGATATCAAAAGGCGGAAAGGCACGGCCTGTCTTTCGGGACAGCGCTGGTGAGTTGTTGCGCGCGTCGCTTGTGACCGAAGTTGGCAAAGGTTCGCCCCCGGTACCCCGACGACTGCAATGCGGTAAGTCACTGCTTGCAGGAAGGAAATGGTGACAAACTCACGATGTCTAAGACGTCAGGTTCCACCTCCCGGACAACGGTGTTGTCGTTGAAGACACAGACCAACCCGGCGTAGGTGCCCGGGTCCGCATCGTCGCCTACAACCAGTAAGCAAGATAACAAGAATATCAAGACACGACCACTCACCTTTACAACAATCAGCAACACCTCGGCGAAGCAGCGACACCTTACCTGCCGACAACGACAAACCCGGCGAGCATATTGCGCAATGGTGGGGAACTCGGATGGGGGGAGGATGACGACGGCGACATCAGAGCAAGGAGAAAAGTGGGAGAGAGGAAAGGGAGAGAAGGGGAGGGAATGATGGAACTGTCGGATTGGGGTGGGCTTTATACCCAGTGCCCGTCGGCGCTCGGCGTAGGCGAGCTATGACATGCAAGATGATCACTCGCCGGAAAGGCGCATCACTGACAGGTGTACCTGGGCGATCTTGCTACTGCCGGTAAGGCGTGGAATCTGGTTTAGATAGCTTTCCGGACATATATTGAGCAGTTAGTGTGTATATATACATGAAGTATGATACTATGGTCCGTATAGATGAGTTTCAGGGCCTGATAATACACTGTAAGAGACCAAAATCTGAAAACAGAGTTGGGGAGTGGAAAGCGAAATACGACATACCGGAGAGCGGAGCGCCCAAGCTTTTAGGCGAGTGACATCAGGGATGATGCCCAGCATGTTTCAGGCTGACATTGCTGCAAGTTCGCCGTTGAGAAATGCAGAACTTTGGGGTGTTGTATGAAATTTCGGCGGAGTAAAGGATTCTTTGGGGAATCGGAGTTGGCGAAGTTGGTGGAGCATGTTATCACGTGAATGTCTCAAGTTCCGAGGGAAATCGGCCGACTCCCTGGCTCAATATGCCAGGAATCAGCGAAACAACACACCTTCGCAAGATGGCCTGTTTGTGGAGAGCCTTCGCCACCGATGAAAGTTGGGTCCAACAGAGTGATTACGTAAGCAACTCCTCCTAAATTTTGAGCAAAATCGGAGCAATTTTAGCCGTAGAACAGTGGTTGAATTGAGAATTTCCCCTTTTTGGCCACAGGCGGTAGCGCGCGATAAGGTCACGTGACCGGCTTCCGGGTGTCCGAGAAAGCATTATGGAACATTTTGACAGCTGCCCGACTGTCATCGGCTGGGGATGTTGTGTGTGTTCAATCGGGAATTGCCATTCTCTCAGCATTTCAAGGAGGTCATAGCACATTTTTCTTTTGATTTTGAATCCTTTTGATATTTTTCACTTACTTTTTATCAGCACTACTATACAAGTTTGACCAATTCGGCATGTCACAGTCATGCCCAATTTTCAGAAACTCCAGAAATAATTCTTTCTTGATTTTTGAGATTTTGTAAAGCTTTTGATTCTATCAAAAAGTGATGATCTGGCCGAATTGATCGAAGTAAGTCTGGTGATATGGTCTGATATTTGATATTTAGCCACTTTTTATTGGGACTATTGCTGGCTTCAAAGGCTGTTTTGACTGGCATGCAAATGTGGATTTGTCAGCCCCCACACTAGTTAAGATCCAAAATTCAACCAAAAGATTTCTATATACAAGCTAGCACCCTGTAACTGATGTTTTTTTTGTCAGATCAGCACAGGTGTGACATATGACCAACAAATTGAATAAAACAATATAGTACTCAAAACTGATAAGAATCAATATACATATTTACTCACTTTTTATTGGGCTTATTTTGGTTTTGGCTAGCATATGAAGACAGATTTTGTCTGTCTTAACTTCTTATGCCCAAGATGTCTCCATTTCTGGTCCGACTTAAATTCCGCCCCTGCGACTCTATTAGGCACATCACTGCTGCCATCCGGTGGTCTTCCGGATGATCTCCTGGGACCTGGCTTATGATCTGGCCTTCATCTTCTCCAGGGTTGCCCTTACACTTTTACCCACTTTTTATTGGGCTTGCTCTGGCTTTGACTGACATATTAAGATAGATTTGTCAGCTTATTTCATTTTCACCTACTTTTTGTTGGAACTATTTATATACAGACCTTATTTGATTTTTAATATCAACAAAAGTTTTTGATTTGATTTTTTGTATACTTGGGTTTCTTGTAGATCAAGTCTGACCAGTGTTGTAGTCTCTAGGTACAATGTGATAGAGTGTGACAGATCATGTGGTCCAGTTTGATGCCCCATCACACCAGATATGAACTACAAGCAAGCATCATGATTTCCATGAAGAAAGGCTTAGATTTGATTTTTATCTCCTTTTTATTTTTCCAAGAAATGCTTTTATTATCAAGGAATTACCATTTTGGGAAATATTAAGCTCTGGATGTGTTAAACACTTTCATTTCACTACTTTTGTAACCTGCTAAGCCCAAACATTAGATTCCTATTAGGGAAAGTCTTTGTAGTTTTATAAATGCTTAGATTTGATTTTCACCCACTTTTTTGAAATAGTTGTCTAATCATCAAGGAATTACCATTTCAGGGAAGAATTAAGGTCTAAATCAACATTTGATTTGATTTTTGCCCACTTTTTACTGTGACTAAACTCAAACAGATTCCTATTAGGAAAAGTTTTTATTTGATTTTTACCCAACTTTTATTGGTCTTTATATCAGTGTAAAGCTGTAAAGGTCCAAATTAGCATACTGGATTCCCTAGGCACTGATGATGTGATGTTTGCAAAATAATGTAATTTCCCAGCCAAAATCATATGGAGATATCAAGGAATTGCTATCTTGGGAAGTGTTAAGTATATTTTACCCATTTTTTATTGGGACAAGTCTAGTTTTGGCTTCAGGTCAAATACTATTCCAGGAAGTAATTCCAGTTGAATCTCTGTTAATAAGGCCAAATTACCATTCTCGGAAGGTAAGGACTGCATATTCAATCAATTTTTATTGGAACCAAGTCCAGTTTTACTGGCTGATACAAGCATGAAACTTTAGTTAGTCTATAATGAAAATTGATTTTTACCCACTTTTTTATTGGGACAAGTCAGTCAATCATAAGCTCAGAATTCATTTTTACGCACTTTTTATTTTTCCATAAATCACTATTCTGGGCAGTAATTCAACTTGATTCAAGCTAAGTTACCATTGAAGGTTCATTCCCACTAAGAAAAGTTTTCATTTCATTTTTACCCACTTTTCACTGGTGAACTACCCACTTTGACTCACCCTCACATTTGATTTTTCTTACCATGCTACACTTCTGTATCAGAGTTAAATTGCGCAACATCGGGAGTTGAACTCAGGACCCAGATGAAACACTATCACATAACATAACAGTGTAAGGTCCGATCAAATATTCCGAGAATAGGTGACGCCAAGTGGTCACACAAAAATACTCTTCCTCTTTCCCCCCATCGTCTTGTCGTTATGCTGGTGGTGAGTCTGAGTGCTCTGTTGAGGAGGTGAATACCAAGTGGTCAAACATAACCTCTCTCTTTCTCTTTTCCCCCATACTGGTGGTGGTGAGTGTTGTTACTATATGCTAGACTCGGAGTCATGGTCTAATGACAAGTTAGCAGCACTACAGAGACAACTCTTGGACTGGCACGAAGACTGTTACTGGTGAGTGCTTAGTCATCACTCCCCATTCCCTTTTTTTTTGTTGTCGGCGCTGTCTTTACCTTCGGGAGGGGAAACCCTGGCCCGGAGTGGAAGAAAGTGCAGAATGGGGTTGTGTACCCGGAGCACGCGTTTGCTAAGCCTAATTAACGCGTTTTTAGGGACATCTCAAACTCACTCCAGCCAAAACTATGCCAAAATGGATAAAAACGCGCAAGTCCAAATTAAAAGTGGAAACACGTGACCGCGTGGACTTGGCGTGTAAGCGGTGACGTGCGGCGCGCGTGGAGGAACGCGGCGCAGCGTGGGACGAGGACGAGGATGCGGCGCGGCGCGGCACCACAGGACACATGCACGCGCGCGCAGATCACAACGAGGCAGTGGGGCAGGCTGGCGTTGGGAGCATGCAACGACGTAAACCTATAGTATTGTTTAGGATCTATCATACTTCATTGGCACAGACTACATTGTAATGGCACGATAGTAGAGCAAACAGGGCTACAACAACAGAGTGAGATCAGCTTAGATTTACAACTCTCACAGTTCCGCTTCAGGACTGTCCTCGCGGCGGCTAGACTCGGATTGCAGCAATGCCTGCTCGAAACTGCGGCTAACTGCAGCAGCAAGAGGCACAGGAACAGCGTTGCCGATATGCTTGTAGTACTAGGGAAATAAACAGCAGCACAAGTCAAGTTCCGTGGCACTCACCTGACGAATGACACCTCCAGCATTGCTCGCGTCAGACCACAGCTTGAAGGAATCCGGAAAGCCTTGAGCGCGCTTAGCCTCCAAGACGGTGATCGTCCGTTTTTGCTGCAGACCAGGTCAATACCACTAAACAAAACCGTGCTCCGACAAACCGTTGGATGAAGAAGCTGGCTCCCATGACTACTCGGCGATACTTGAGTCATCGCAGTCTTGAACGGCCCATTCTCGTCCAATCGCCCAAACTTCCGCGTCTTGTTCGGATTCAGCCGTTTGTGAAAAGCCCGTGGAAGATCTAGCAAATAGGATTCAGAAATGCGAGCAATCTTTCTCTTTATTTACCAGGATGTCCTGCTTTGGGCTTCAACGGTACCGTTACCGTCGCCTCCACAACGAACGACGAGTACCGAAGTGTCACGTGGTCCTCTACCAAGGATGAGTTGCTGCGCCGCATTTCGCGTTGATAGCGGGTTTGGGGCTCTGTAAGATACGGCACAGGCTCGGCATATCCAACGGGCGTGGTAGATGCATCGCACTGCTTGATGCCAGACGCGAGTCTTGTTTGGACTGTCTTCTTATCCGCCGGAGTCTGGGCAATGACTTCGTGAGGGTTGATCCTGCCGGCGTCAGTAAGTGTGCGAAACCCAGGAGAAGCTTACCAATCGAATTTGGGGAGGTCACTTGTCGCGTCTTTGATCGTGAACCCGGGATGTGGTGCAAAATTGTTGCCGTCTTCATCATCCGAGTCGGTATTCGCCATCCGTCCGCGTTTTGCGCCGCCAATGAAGTCGCCCTCGATGAAGAGCTTGCGCCGCTGTGCAGGCTTGAACACGTGCATCGGCAGTGGGGGTTTCGGTAAAACAGAGCCGCGCCGGGCAGCGAAGAGGAAGAAGCGCGGGCGGTTTTGCACACATCCATGCTGCCCCGCCTGGGCCAAAATCGGCGAAACTTGGTAGTTCAGGGCGAGTAAGACGCGGGTGAGCAGCTTCAGCATCGCCATCTTGATGGGCGAGCCATGCACCGTGTACTTCTCCGAGTGGTCAAGCAGACCGGTCACGTTCTCGAGCAAAAAGAACTCGGGTCGGAAGACCTCCGCTATGCTGAGCATCGTAAACGGCAGTGAGGACCGGGGGTCATTCTCTTTTTTGTGAATATTCATTCGGGAGAACGATTGACATGGCGGCCCACCACAGAGGACGCGAGCCGAGCCTGGGTATGGAATCTGCTCGTCTGGAATGATGGGGTTGCCTGGACCTCGGCTTCTCAGCGGAAGCTGCTCTTTTCCTTGTTGGCGTTGGATTACATATCGGACGAAATCGTTGATATCTGTGCAGAGAACACCCGTCTCGGGATGGTTAATGCTGATGTGTTGTCAGTGTTGCGCAAGACCAACAAAAAAAATTATTACCTGAATGTCTGGGCAGCGGGATACGACCACTCAACGGCACACTCGGTACCAAAAAACCCTGTTTGGCAGAAGCCCTGCGACAAGCCACCGGCACCTTAATTCGAGTTTGGATGAAATAAAAAGGTTCAACCATAACTGAACGCACCAGCGAACATCTCCATCACCGGGACTTTGCCATTCTTTCTGACATAGCGTTTGCTCTCTTCTAACTGGGAAGCATGGGCGTCGAAACATTCTCCGCACTGGGCAATATGGTCCTCGTTGTCATCTAGCATCAGATAAAAATGGTTTTCATCGTCGTCAAGCCATCGCTGGATGGCTGGGTCTCTTTCATCCAAAAAGCTTTCGACGAATGGCCTCGAATCAAGATCCAGATTGTCAATAGAGAGCGTGTTTTGTCGTGACGACCGACGAATGCATCTCTAAAGCCAATGATCAGTTCAACTGGGAAAGGAACTTGCGAAAAAAAAACACAAACTGAGTCATGCGACTCCCGTTCATAGTATCTGACTGTGATGAGCTTTCGTGCCGTATCCACCGTTTTAATGCGAGCAATAAATAACAGCTCCTGCGCTGAATTGTTGGTGTCGGGCATTACATAGACAAAATCATCTTTATGCAGCACGTGACCGAATCTTTGTAAGCCATTGCCGACAACACGAATTCGGCCTTGCGATCTTCGCTCCATATTCTGCGCACAGTTGAGACATTGGTTGTACTGGCGGAGATTTTCCGTTTGGGGATGAGTAGGCAGATCAGAGAATGAATGTCGCTTTGAATCATACGCATATCTGCAGGAATTATCAGTGCAGAATGGACGAGGGAGCGAATCGTGCTGACCTAATAAAGTAGTCTCGGCTGGATGGATCCTGGTCATCCGGTTCTTCCACTTCGTCAACTCCCAGTCGACGCACATTGCATTTGCAAAGTATCGAGGCAACAACATTGTCATCACATTCAGAAAGGAAAAGCAGTTCTTGCGAATGTGACACCTCATGCAGTAAGGTTCGACTGCCTGTTGAAAGAAGAATTAGCGCTGCAGACAGCCTGGGTGCAAGTTGCAAGCACTTGCCATGCGACAACCAGTGCCCGTGAAACTTTTTGACTAAGGCATCTTCGAAGAAGTATTGAATTTGCACAAACCTAATGAGGGATGTTGGAGAGTTGAGTCGAAGAGTTGGTCTGAGCAATTACCATGCAGTATTAGCTAAGATGTTGGGACAAATGATTCCGTTTGACGATTCATATTCTGCTCGGAGCTATAGTGGTCAGAATCGTGTGAGAGAGAGAGAGACGTTTCATAAAGGAACCTACTTTATTCGAGTCGTTTCCCGGTGCGACTGCAACAATGTCGCCTGCCTGGAAAACGAGTCACTACTGTTTCGCTTTCGTTACAAAGGAAACAACGTGCCTTGTAAAGAAAACCATCCAACTCTACACTCTCATAAAATCCCGTTTCAGATGACTGTGGTCCCCATTTGATAAGGGTAGGATTTTGCTCATGGATGTGGGCTTGCTTCTCCAGCTCTTGGACAGCCTTTTTAGCCGCTGCGAGTTGTCGATCACCGACAACGGAAACCTTGGTCGAAAGGTGTTGGTTTACGATGCGACCACAAATTTCTGTGACGAAAATTTTGCCGTCTTGTTCCTTTTTATTGGAAACACGAGATTCATCGTAGAAGTGTCGGATAAGCGGAACTTTGGCAATCTTTCCATGCGACAGTTTAACGCGGTCGATGGCATGCATCAGGTATGCAATCTGGAATGCGGTGAGTTGTGAGGAGAGGAAAGCAAGTCTGGGCGACATTCCGCTTCATCTCTTTTGAGTATTGATTCGAGTTGCGGGTAGTCGAGCTCCACTATGGCCTCATCCACCCAAGTCTCGTAGTTGGTCGATGGATTGTCAATCGCAGCTGAAAGAACGGAGTTGGCAATCCGGCTTTTCAGATGAAAACCGTCCCAAAATGCTTTGTACTCCGTCGCAGGGATATCAAGAATGTACCAGGCTTCCTTCGTTTCGATGTACACTTGTCTTTTGAACTGTGAGAACCACATTGCTGTCTTCGAACAACAACCTACTCGTCCAAAGCCTCCTCATAATGGTGTGCACTGAATCCAGTGATGTCGACTTCGATGAAGCACGCTTCGGTTTCGGCGTCAGATTCATCGTCCCCAAGTTGGTTGGCAACTTCCGTGGCCAGCCCAGCGGCACGGAAAAGACCGATGATGTTGTCTCTGTCAATTTCCAGAGGGTTGACCAGCTCTCGGTCATCAACCTTGAATATAGCGAAAGCGGAGAGTCTACGAATCGGAGTGCCGTCGTCTTCGCCGCCCGTTTCTTTGAATCGGTCAGGTAGTTCAGATTCTGCTACGGGGATGCGGCCATAGTAGTTGAAATAAACGGGGTCCTCAGGATCTAGTAGGCCCTGAGCGTCAGCTCAATAAAAAAAAATTAAAGAGAAATACCGGCAAAAATGTCGCCGTCGTCTTCGTCAAAACTATTCGATACAACGGTGTGCGGGGGCTCAGAGCGGGGAGGGGAAGAGCGGGAGTTGATGGATACATGGGAAATTCGAGAAACAGTGTCGCGGACAAGCCTATCGTTACGGGGCCGTTTACGAGGCGAAAGATTGGGACTAGTAGATCGGGAAGACGAGTCTGAAGGAGAAGGAGAACGAATTCGCTTTTGCGGGGAGCGCGGCGGAAGCAGAACGTAGGGAACAAGGACCATGAGCCGCGCTGGGCGAACAGCGGAATGACTGTACGGTCAGAACAAGGAGCAACACTTTGGTTGAACTCAATGCAGTCCGTGTGACGCCTCGCGAAGTCACGGTCACGCCCACCTTTCCCTTCAACCATGTCGTTGCTCCCCTACAACAATCCCCACAACTATGAATCAGAAAAGCGTATGTCTACTCGGAATGAGAGGTCTTATATAGCCACTTACACCATCCAGTCATCATCAGAAATTTCTTCGAAACCTTCAAGGGGGAGGCGGAGAAGGACCTTGAGGCTGGGATGGCGGGGATTCGGATAGACGCGCCAGAAGACGCGCAAATGGACCCAGAGATGGATAAAAAGTACATGAGACAACTGGTGCGCCCCTAGATTCTTCTTGTGACGCGCCTCTGACGCGTCAAGCAGCAACGAATAGCCAACCGCGAACAAGAGAAGCTCGTCGTCGAACTGGAGGACATATGGCACTCCTCAGTATGTCTCAATCTTGGGAGAATCTGCATATGCTCATCATATCGACGCAGGACAATGACCAAGTAAAAACTCTTGTCCGGTCGATCTGCGACAATACTCGCCGCTATGTCATTCTTTTCAGCGAAGTCGTCGACGATCTTCTGCGTCTGAATCCTCCCACCAAAGACATCAGCGATAAAGACGAGGTCATTGACGTGATAATGCATCAACGACGTGAGCGGAATGCACAGTTGGACCAAGCAGGTTTCCCAGATCATATTCTTCGACGATTGTGAGTCTTGAGTTGCATTTTCTCCACTTGTTTCCCATAATTTCCAAAGTAATCTTTACTTCAAACCACTGCTCAACGACGTTGCTCTCGCCGTTCGCGAAGTTCATAGTGCCCATATTGGACATCTCATCACTGTTCGTGGGATCGTGACAAGAGTATCAGAGGTCAAACCATTACTACAAGTCAACGCCTACACTTGCGACGTTTGTGGGTCGGAAACATTCCAAGAGGTCACAAACAAGACTTTCGCGCCACTCTACGACTGTGGCAACACCGAGGAGTGCGAGAAGAATGGTGTGAAGGGCAGTTTGCATATGCAAACACGGGCATGTCGTTTCAGTCCGTTCCAAGAACTCAAAATCCAAGAGATGGTAAGAATATGTTCGCTATTGGTATTTCTCCCTGACCACCACTAGGCTGACCAAGTTCCTGTTGGCCACATCCCTCGTTCTATGACGGTCCACGTCAGCGGGAGCCTTACACGCCTTATGAACCCTGGCGATGAGGTTCATCTTGGTGGTATCTTCCTCCCCGTTCCCTACACCGGTTTCCAAGCCATTCGTGCTGGGCTTCTCACGGACACGTACCTTGACGTACATGACGTTCACCAACAAAAGAAACAATATCGCGACATGGAGACGACACCAGAGCTCGAAGCGAAGATGGAGCAGCTCCACGCAGAGGACGGCTTATACAACAAGCTGGCCGAAAGCATCGCTCCTGAAATCTATGGCCACTCAGACGTCAAGAAGGCGCTTCTGCTCTTACTGGTTGGAGGGGTTACGAAAGTTACTAGTGACGGGATGAAGATTCGTGGCGACATCAATATTTGTCTTATGGGTGATCCTGGTGTGGCGAAGTCCCAACTTTTGAAGTACATCTCCAAAATTGCCCCTCGGGGAGTGTACACGACCGGTAAAGGCTCCTCTGGTGTTGGCTTAACCGCGGCCGTTATGCGTGATCCTGTTACAGACGAAATGGTCCTCGGTGCGTTGTTTCACTTTTCGTTGACTTCTAACTAACCAATCATTGAAGAGGGTGGTGCACTTGTGCTTGCGGACAATGGAATTTGCTGCATCGACGAATTCGACAAAATGGACGACTCCGATCGTACTGCCATCCATGAAGTGATGGAGCAACAAACCATCTCTATCTCTAAAGCCGGTATCTCGACCACCCTCAATGCCCGCACCTCGATTCTTGCAGCAGCGAATCCTCTGTACGGTCGGTATAACCCTAAAGTCTCGCCTGTCGAGAACATCAATCTTCCCGCGGCATTGTTGTCGCGTTTCGACCTTCTCTTCCTGATTCTCGATAAACCATCCCGCGACGACGATGAACGTCTCGCTCAGCATGTCACATACGTCCACATGCACAACCGTCATCCAGACCTTGAGGAGGAGGTTGTGGATCCTACTCTCATGAGGTTAGCATTTGGTTGCTTATGAAAAAACTAACTAAGCACATCACCCTGTAGGCACTACATCGCCAAAGCACGCGAAGTACGACCGGTGGTTCCTCCAGCGGTGTCCCAATACGTCGTCGACTCGTATGTCCAACTTCGCAAAGCGGGGAAGGCGGCAGAAGAATCGAACAAATCACACTCGTATACCTCTGCTCGAACGCTTATTGGTGTACTGCGACTTGCACAGGCTCTCGCCCGACTACGCTGGGTTGAGACGGTGGAGATGGCGGATGTAGATGAGGCACTGCGGTTGATGCGGTGCAGTAAACAGAGTCTGGATGATGATGAAGACGAGATGGCGACGGGACCAGACAAGAGCATCGTCAGTCAGATATTCCGACTGATCAAGCAAATGGCGGGTGCTGGCGCTCCGAGGCGGAAGGCGAAGAGACAGCGGAGAATGGGGAAAGGCCCCGACCGGGAGCGTGACATGGCTGTCGATTCCGATTCGGACTCGGACGAGTATTCAGGCCAGCAGGAGGTCTCGATGGTAGACGTAAGAGCACGGGTAACTGCGGCTGGCTTTACTGAGGCGCAGTTGAACGAGACCATAATCAAGGTTTGTTTTTCGATTCCAAGTACCTGAAAGGACACTAAAGCACGTCTACAGTACGAAGACTTGAATGTCATTGTTCGCGTTGCCAATGGTGCTAAAATACGTTTCGTCGATGCCGATTCATAGTAGAGAGGGGGATGCTTACTGTCGATTTAACGTCGTTGTCCTGCTTTGTCTGTTGTTGTACTCTAAATCCCCTGTCCTTGTCATCTTATCATCAATGCACTGCAGGCTAAGAGCAAGGCGAAATCAATCGATTTCTAACAGCGGAGGATCACATCAAAACAGCTTTTTCTAAGTGAGCTTAGGATTGAGCAGTCCTCAAGCAGCCCTACTATGGACTGCTCCATTTCTCTGTCCAGTCTAGTGAACACATGGATAAGACACACTAAGCAATACAGAATGCGCAATATAAGTACAAATCATGGCCTCTCATCGTCGTCCCTATAGGTGGGAGAAGTCGCTCGCGGTGGGTACTCATGCTCTTCGTCATCATCTAAGAACCCAGAATGGAACCCTACGGACTGTTGATAAGGCCCGCTATTCAGCCCCGTTCGTTCATCGGCTTCGTCGTCTGAATCATCTACGGCAACAACGGGCCGAGTTCGGTCGGAGACCATTGACATCGGGGCATCAGCCGGGGTTGATCCGTCCAATGGAAGTGAGATGTATTGCTCCTGGGACTCGTCGATGGTATGGCGATAGCAGTAACGCCACATGAGTACTCCAGAGGTGAAGCTGAGCACGAAGAGGGCGAATATGCTCAGCGCAAGCCTGGTTTTGAGTGATTCGATTATGCGAGCAAGCTGCGAGGAAGCGGCCTCGTCGCTAGAGCTGGGTGATGGAGCACTGGGGATAGTCTGTAGTTTGGTAGTGTCTTCGAGGACATCTGCATCCACAGCGGGTGAATGGGAAGGCGTCGGTGTGAGCGTGGATTTGATGGAGGTAGTTTCGGAATGGGTAAGATAAATGGAGGGTTTGATGAAGGATTTGGTGGCTGAGGGTTTGCTTGGGCGAACCGGCACAGGCTCGTTATGTGGTGGTAGGAGCGGCTCAAGATCAACGAGCTCGTAGAGCACTGCTTTTTTCTCGTCGATGGTGGACCCCCAGAACACCATGTCCCAACCGAGAAACGTGCCATTGTGTTCAGGGTTGGCCAAGTCAGAAACAGTTATCATCCACTGTCCCACTGGATCCTCGCCCCTGAAAACGGATTTTTAGTGAGCAAAGCGGCATAAAGAATAGACTCACCAATGTTTTACGCTCATGAATGTCCAGCCAGGGAAGCCTGTAGTTGCTCTATCTCCGTGTCTTGGTTCTGCCAAAACACTAGTGACACCGTTCGGACTTCTCAATTCAACCCGCACGTCGCCTCTCCGCGTATGGTCAATCCAAACACGCACGGTGATATGCTCGAGCTTCTCTAGATTGGCATCCTGGACCATATCCCACTTGATGTCCATGACACTCGTTACACCGCCCACACCGATAACCTCGCCGCCAGAGTAGTTTCCCATCGGGTTCATCATCCCTTGTTCAATTTGGATCGTTTTTTGTGTGCATCCGTGTTTGCGGTTTGACGAGTTTCCATTTTTGCGCCGCTTGCACAAATGCTGTGGCATCCAACGCGCCATATCCAAAATTTGAACTGTAGTTCCGCCCAGCAGCGGTGAGCTGCCATTCTTCACCGTCACCTATTTGGCGTGCGTTTTCAACACAAAGATGCTGGATGTCGCGCCATGTCAAATCTGGTCTGTAGCCCAAGTTGAGCGCTAATAACTTGCCATTTCAATTGACATACCGAGCTTCCAGCGCAAGCGCAAAAACGCCGACTGCGTTAGGAGCGGCAGCCGATGTGCCCCCATGTGTGTCAGTACATTTATTTGTACCTTTGTCAGTAGTTACCTTCAAGACGTCATCAGCAATAGGGTAGGGAGTTGCACAATATCACCCACAATCCGTTTGCCATTTCCGGAGCTATAAGCTGCAATAAGATTTGCTGTGCATGCTTCAGAGTAGTATGGTCGTTCGCCCTTGTGGTCCACAGCAGCCACGGTCACCGAGTAAATTGAGTTAGTGTAGCCATCGAAGTTGCATTGGTCGCCACTTGCAGCACCGTTCCCAGCAGCAAACACAAATACGGAGCCTTTTCCTCCGCGGCCCTTGTTGATACCATTAAGCACGGCCTATAAGAAGTTAGTAAAGAGGGTCGTGTGAGTTGTAGACATTACCTTGTTGATGAGGTACCCAGGACCGTCCATCACCATTCCATTGTCTGGAGGACCCCAGCTGCAGGAATACAAAGAAACATTGTGGTAGCCGAAGTTGAGCGCAGCCGCTTCATCGGCGTCTGAAATGGGGCCTGACAAAATGCGCACTCCTGCGACCTTGGAGTCGTATGCGATTCCAATACCACATGCTGTGTTTTTGCCCGCTCCCACTTGGCCAGCACAACGGGTTCCATGGGTGTCGTCTCCAAGTTTTGGTGTGGGCAAATCTTCGTGGTCGTTGTAGTCATGGCTGAACTCAGCCACAAAGTTGGCTTTGAGATCGACCGAGGTGTAGTCCAGGCCGTCGTCAATGAACGACGAGATGATACCCTTCCCAGTAAAGCCCATTTCCCAGACAGGAACGACATTCATGGAATGGATGGGCTCCTCGTCGTTGATGATATGCCATTGGTCTGGGAAAAGAGGGTCATGGATACCAAATCGCTCTGCGACTGCCCGGGCGCCGTCTGAATCATCAGACTGTCGTCTTTCGAGTATTGGGGCCCGTTTGGTGCGCTGGCGGAGTGACTGGCGGGATAGATATTTGATTCCGGTCTCCGCTGAACGGGCTCGCAAAGTTTCGTGTCGCTTAAGCACTCCATCTCCTTCTTCTCTCCCCTCCAAACCCTTCCGTGTCCGTACCAGCCAATGGTCTGCAAGTTCCCCGACCCTTTCGACGACCTCAACGCCAAGGGAGCTCGCTACTTCGGTGAGAGAAGCATATTCAGGATCGTGTTCAACCACATAATAGTTGTGTGTGTTGTAGTTGTGCCTCGACGAGGCTGAAACGAGAGAAAAGACAGCGCAAATAGCACTGAAAGCGAACGGTGTCCGCATGAAAGTAGAAAGAGTGGATGGGAAGTTGACACGACAACGCTAACGGCTCGAGCCGGTCCGGAGACGGAAATACCTGAAAGCTGTGCTCATGACGCGTCAACGTGACTTCGCAATTCTCTAAACCTGCAACCATGAGCTGTTCGCATCTTTCCACTCTCGCTTCTCTCCAGGCTCCTCGACTGTCACAGTCCGTGCATCGTGAGGAGTGCACACAGTGCTTTGACAATCAGGTGCCTCATAGTGGCCTTGTCTATGCTCTGAATACTGAGTCAAAGTTTATCTAGGACGATCCGCTAGGTGTCGATGTATGCTTGAGCTGCTTCAATGGTGGCTGCTCTGGAGACAGGCACCATATACGTACTCATCTTCAAAAATCGGGCCATCGCTTTACCCTCAATGTCAAACGCAAACTCAAGCCGTCGACAAAAAGGGTCAGTAGTTCGCAACTGGGCCACTGAAGTGTGAGCTGATGGTTCATAGGTCGAAGATGAAGAGCCACCTGCGAAGATATCCAAGCTGGCGATCCCAGAGGAAAAGGAGGAGGACAAGTACGATCATTCGACAGTTGTGAAATGTTGGACGTGCGATGTCGAGAAGGGGCGCGAGATTCCAGAAGCTTTCAACGACGCTAAGGTGCGTCCTTCCACTCTTTCATCGTGCTATTGAGATTAAGGCACAAGCCCATAGGTCAAATCCCTAGCTGATGAAGTGATGCGCTCGCTCTCATCCGCGCGTCAATCTGAAGTCAAAGCATGGGAGGAGGAATTCGAGGCTTGCGAACACACCCTCATGCTGCAGCAAGTCAGCGCCGGCGCGATTCCTGCTTCTGGCCTTGCCCACTGCACCGCATGTGAGCTGACAAACAATCTCTGGCTTTGTTTAACATGTGGGTCCCTTGGATGTGGTCGGCCATTGTACGGTGTTGCGAATGCTGGCAACGGGCATGGGGTTCGACATTACGAAGAGACCGGTCATCCTGTCAGCGTCAAACTTGGGACAATCACACCTGAAGGAGGAGCAGACATCTTCTGTTACAAGTGTGATGACGCCAAACTCGATCCAGACCTTCCTCTCCATCTCTCTACCTTCGGAATCAATATTTCAACAGCTCAAAAGACGGAGAAGAGCATGACGGAGATGGTATGCACAGTTTCCTTATTTTTCGGTGTTTGACCTCGGCTAGCAAATCGAACACAACCTCAAATACGACTTTTCATTAACATCGGAAGATGGAAAGGCACTAGAGCCCGTATTCGGAGCTGGCTTGACCGGCTTGTCCAACTTGGGCAACAGGTATGTTGGTTGATTCCAAAATATCAATGTGGTCTGAAACATTGGAAAGTTGTTATATGGCGTCGGTGCTCCAGACCTTGTTTTCCCTCCCCGGTTTCAAGACCCGCTACTTCTCAGCCACCTCGACGACGGATCATGCTTCTCAGTGTCCCGAGCAACTTCCTGCAGACTGTGTCGAATGCCAAATGCGAAAAGTTGCCGACGGGTTACTCAGCGGACGCTACTCTCACCCTGGGCACGGTGCTTCCACCAGTGCAAATGATCCTGTTTTCCAAGAAGGCTTGCGACCGGCTGGTTTCAAGGCTCTCATTGGTAAAGGACACTCAGAGTTTTCGACGATGAAGCAGCAAGATTCAGAGGAGTTCCTTGGTCATTTGCTAACGGTTTTACGACGAGATGCACACAAGTACAAGGATCGAGCTGCTGGTCAGTATCGACTTTGAACCCTTAACAACTCTTGATCGATTTATCAGGTGATATGACCACGGTGTTCACCTACGGATTAGAACAACGTTTGGAATGCAATGTCTGCAGTAAAGTGAGCTATCGCGTAGATTCGACGGACGTCTTGAGCGTTCCCGTGACCGCGATAGAGCAAGGAAAAGACGCAGATGGGAAGATAATCTACTCGCCAATCACACTCGAGTCTTGTGTGGACACCGTTCTGACACCCGAACTGTTGGAATACAGCTGTCCGTCTTGTAACAAGAGCGTGCATGCTTCAAAGTTGGTGTTCAGCTTGCCGATAATTGTATGTTCTCATCAAGCTTCAGACAAGCCAAGTTTGCGACCTTCCCAGAGGTGCTCGTAGTCCACGCGAAGAAATTTCAGCTTGTCAACTGGGTACCCACCAAACTTGGTACTGCTTTGGGTTCATCACACTTCGGGCGCTGATCGCATCACAGATATTCCGTTGATTTTGCCGGAAGGAGATGCGTTGGTATTTGGTACTCAGCATCTTGGCACCGGCTTGCAGGCAGGCGAAGTAGAGCTTCCGAGCGTTGGTATGTAGTTCGCACTTTTAGTGGATACCTGACTCATTTTTGAATAGCTGCCGCTGCCGCCGTGCCTGAATTCAATGTTGCTGCGATGGCACAACTTGAAGGAATGGGTTTCTCGACATTGCGTAGCCAAAAGGCATTGCTAGCAACAGGAAACTCCGATGCGGAAGCGGCGATGGAGTGGTTGTTTGTCCATCTAGAGGATCCAGGTTTGGCTCCTTTGCTAGTTCTGTTAGACTGATCAAATCAATGATTAGACATCGACGCGCCGGTACAACACTCTGCTGGAGGCGGGGCTGGACCAGAGCCATCGCCCGAGCAAATTTCAATGCTGACGGATATGGGTTTCAACGCAGCACAAGCAAAGAAGGCATTACGAGAGACGGTTTGTTCTGTTTTTGGCTTGCGTTATCCGAGTACTGAAGATCCACTTAGTCTGGCAACACCGAGCGTGCTGTCGAGTGGCTCTTCAACCACCCAGATGACATGGACTTGGACGATGGACCAGCCGCAACGTCATCTGTCCCAGCCGAGCCTGCCGTTGTTCCCGGATCAAAATCAGTCCCAGTACAATACCGGCTCAAGGCCTTCATCTCACACAAAGGACCGTCCGTCCACTCTGGCCATTATGTTGCACATATTCAGACGCCAGAAGGATGGGTGTTGTTCAACGATGAGAAGGTCGTCAAGGCTGATGCGGAAAGTGTGAAGGAGTTGAAGAAGTTGGCATATTTGTACGTTTTCGAGAGGGTATAGACGAGCCAGAAGTTTCAACAAATAAAAAAATGTACACGTAGACTACCTGAGAATTGGTTTTGATTCAAGCTGCGTCTCGAGAAGGCATCGAATAGATTGCAGGGCCTTTGCGTGAGGCATGGCGGCGACCTTCAAGGATGTGAGTAAGGATGCAGAATGAAGCCAAAACTGGCCTTTGATCCACAGTCGGGCAGAGGTCGGTGCTTGCATATCCTTTTCAGTCAACGATGAGCAGATCTCCTCGAATCTAGCGAGAGCGGCCGCAGCATTTGGTTGGTCAGGGTTCTCCTTATCTATCATTGCATTGAGAAAACCATCGATTTCGGGGACGAAGCCTTCGACACAAAGACACTTGTGGTGGCTTAGCATTCTGCGAACGAAAGAAACAAGGCAAAACGCACTCGTAGTTGCATCTCCAACAAAAGAGCCATATCGGAGACGTCTTCCTTACGACGCTTCTCCGCCTCTTCTCCACTCTCGCCCACTCGTGCTGTCTCGAAATCGATCAGCGCATATCGGCGCTCTGGCCCACGGAAGCCGGCCAGTCGCACTGTACGGCCAGCAACCATGATACCTCGAGGTATTACGATGTCACACATAAGATTGCTGCTCCAGATGTCGCCATGGGTAATGCCATGTCTATGAAAGAACGCTAGGGCCTAGATTGTCAAAAAGAAAATGAGAGGATTGTAGACATTGAACCTCACCTGTAATGCTCCTCGGCCATAGTGAACGAAATCAGCAACTGTCGCGTAGTCTGGAGTTGTTGCGTCGCCCCATCTGGCCAACATGAATCACTTCGGCAGAACGAATTCAAGTTCGCCCACCGTTCCATCACAATAAAGACTGCATCCCCGAGCCACACATAGTCGACGACTGGAACGGAGAAATTGAAGCCGTCTTGAAGGACTGCAGCAGAATTTAGATGCACCAAGACATCCACCTCTCCTCCGCGTCGACAATGGGGGACGAATCTGTTTGCAATTGTAAGTAGGAAGCTGGAGTGGAACGAGACAAAACAGGCTTTATGATCACATCACGTCCCTCGTTGTCTTGCGCAGGCCAAATTCGTGGGGCCTGTGGTGTTGGTGAGCGAGTTGCGTCCTACAATCCAATGACTAACGCTGAAGTTCCAGATAGCATCTTCATCATCTCTCTCTAGCATTTCGACGAATCGTCGGCTCAGGGGGGCAGGCTTGCGACTACGTCGAAGGCTTGGAATGAAGAAGTTAATCGGCTCAGCGACCTTGTAGAGATGGTAGCCCTTGAAGGACAGAAATGGCGCCGCATATCTTGTCCAAAATTTGACCCAGCGGGCTCGGTCTTGAGGAGGCTGCTGTGGGTAAGAACCATCGGCTGGAAGTTCGTCCCAATCCCAAAATTCCATATCTTGACCAGGGTAGTTCCATAGCCAGGCCCGCGTAGTCCAATACACTTCAGGAAGGGGAAACGGGTGGGAGAGCGCAAGTGTTGCAGCTCCAACTGTAAGCACACACACACAAACGAGTCGGATCTGATGGATGGTTGTTTCAAGCATGCCGAACCTTCAATTTGGCACGCCGCGGCCCCACACAACATCGTGTGAAATCAGTGTCTCGTTGAACCCACACATCGTTGTTCACAACGTTCACAGGTCTTCCCTCGAGAAAAGCAATATGGTGAGACCCACACACTCTCGCAGCATTGTGTGCTCATTTGGCAATAGTTCCCTCCTGAGACACGGGTTGCTCTACGATCAGAGCTCACTCTCACAAACCCTCAAAATTTCGACGAAACAATTACCTTGTTGCAAGGGACCAAAGGTTCCATCGTCACGGTCCATGGTCAAAGTGGGGGTCGACCAAGCAAAGTTAGTATTGTGTAAATCTCCCCTTTTGAGATATAACTGGCACTGGTATAGGATCGTCAGGACGGAGCAGTCCAGTACTCTGTTAAGTTTGACGACTACCCAGTCAAGTTCACGATCCATCATGCTGAGCTCATTGCATTGTGATGGATATGGATGTTTGTAACCAACTACTAACAGTTGGTTTGTTTCTTGTTCAAGCTGTTTGGAAGAACTCAGAAGAAGTATTGTTTATTGTATCAGAATTCAACTTCACCTTGTATGATGGTACTTGTAATGCCCCCAAAAAGGAAATTATTTGTAAAAAAAAATCAATTGGTCATAATATAATAGGAAGTACATAATAACACTATGATAATATCACAATATAGAAGGATAATATTCATCAAAAAATAAACCTATATCATATATTCAGATAAAATAATCATCTTGAATTGTTTAGTAATAATGATACTAGAGTATAATAGCTTGGTTAATCATTGCTGATAGATAGCAACCAGAACAGAGTTGTTGAATTTAGTAATTTCATGAAGACAATAATCATTGGATATTATTGCCAATCTATTATCATATATTATTATGTAACTTATAATATAATATCATCAGATATTATTGTATTTTAATTACCTTAGATATTATTTTAAGTATGACACTTAATAAGAGATCCAAATTATTCAAATCACTTCCTAATAAGGAAAATTTGACAGTAGAGATACCTTAAGATCTCAGAAAATTAGGGTAGAGTACAGGTCAGGGTCAACCCACAGGGCTTCAGGGTAGGGTCTGTCAGGGTCAGGGTACACCAATTTCTGAACCCAGCCAAACCTGGACCCTGTCAGGGTCAACCCAGAGGGTCTAAAAAGCTATTGTGATTTAACAAATTCCTATCTAAACATGATTTTTGTAGGTTTTAAGAGACAAAAAAAAGTCACATGTCACTCAAGTCACTCATGTGACATGTGACATATGAGTGCACCATATTAAATTTACTTAAAATCTTGATGAATAGACTACATATGCTATATCTGAGCCAATATCATATAGTAAAATGTATACAGTTGAGTTCCTCATATGGAATCACCCCATGTGGAATATCCTCAATATGGAATGAGTTTTGGCCTTCCACAGCCTTGGGAGAAGTAAATATTCCACAATTTGTGTTCTGGAATATGGAATGGCCTGATTGTGCAATTATTGCCGAACCTAAGGTTTGGCTCTATAGAATCATGTTGAAACCAGCCCCCCCATATCGGGAATGGCTGTGCATTTCTATAACCCTTTTGGGATGAGCCACGTCATATCACGTGGTGCTGGCCACGGTCTTCCCTGGCTTATTATGTAAGGTTCGGCACCTGCCGCTTGCGGCCTTATCCCTCCTCATTCCATCTAAATTTGGGTGGAGAAGCAGTTAAAGCACCAAAATTATGACCATAAATACAAATGTATGACATCTTCTAGCCATCTTTAATCCCACCAATTATTATCTATACTACATTAAGTAAAGAACACTCTTTAGAAAGGTGATTATGCTTGAACCAAAGGCTAGAGAGACTCAGAGAAACATTCCATCATACTTTACTGTGTACACAGATCATGTTTATATGCTGGGCATGCTAAAACTAACAGAAAAAGAAAATATAAAATAAAAATACAATAAATAAATATAAGACATAAAATCAAGATAAATTTCATATGGAATATCCGCAATATGGAATAGGGGTAGGGTTTCCACCAATATTATTCCAAATGAGGAACTCGACTGTATTATGTTGAAATTATTGTATCTAATACATCTTCTGCTTCCATGTCTACAACCCGTGGGTCAACCCGGACCCGGTCAGACCCGTACCCGGAAGGGTCAGGGTTAGTCAGGGTCAGGGTCAGGGTCAGCTCTCTGAGACCCACCCGGACCCATGCTCAACCCTACAGAAAATACACCTTTTAGATGTTAATTCAAGCATAATAATCTGACATCGAGAAGAAAAAAATTATGAAGTCATTGTGACAAATCACATGTGAACTAATTGAAATATTACTATATTGTCAATGGTTAAGTGTACATTGATGCCATCAGGGACTTGGGCTTTATAATGATTTGATATAAGAAAGTTGGCCAAGTGTATAGTACCCCATAGATACCTGCAGCTAGGTTACTATACAATGCTGCTTATAGGCTGCTAATCATCTATCTATAGTTGGGCCATAGACAAGCCATTGACAGCCTATCAGGGCCTATCCAGACTATAAGTTGTTATAGGTATTTTACCTATTCTACAACATAAAGCTTGGAGATTGTTTCCAACCATATTGTTTTTAAGTATTTACAATCAACGAAAGTAACAGAACAAAGCAAATGAACCATAGCTTGTTCATTGAGTTATATCTAGCACTGCAGCCTCTGCAGCACATAGCTGGCCTCTGATGTCTAACTTAAATATGAGGACTCAGAGCTCTTAAAGATTCCTATGTCAAGTGAATATCTTTAGGCATTTTATACTACAATCAGATAGAGTACTAAAATCCATATAAACTCTGGAAAATCCCTTTCCCTTTTTTCCCGCTTTTTTCCTTGGCCGGACACAAACATGGGCACCCTGCACAGATGTCTGGGTATCCAAGACTAAGCAGCAAGCAAAGAAGGCACTGCAAGAGACAGTTTGTTTCATGTCGATATTATCCAAGTACTTACAGGCCATTTAGTCAGATGACATGGAATGAACGATGGGTCAGCCGTAACGTCATTTGTTCCAGCCGACTAATTTTGAGCATATCGGGTCAAGGCCTTTATCGAACAAGGACGGCGGTGTTGCTTAACGATGACGAAGGTGACGCGGAAAATGTGAATGAGTTGAAGAAGTTGACGTCTTCGAACGTTTCCGGGAGGGTGAAGGCAGAAATTTCAACAAACAAAAAACCTACATGTAGACTATCTGGGAAATGGTTCTGATTCAAGCTGCGTCTCGAGGAGGTATCGAATAGATTGCAGGGCCTTCGCGCGAGCTATGGCGGCCGCCTTTGAAAATGTGAGTGAGAATGCAGAGTGAAGCTAAACTAGCCTTTGTTCCAGAAAAGAGCAGAGGTCTGTGTTTGCATATCCTTTTCTGTTAACGACGAGCAAATCTCCTCGAATCTAGCGAGAGCGGCCGCAGCATTTGGTTGGTCAGGGCTCTCCTTATCTATCATCGCATTGAGAAAACCATCGATTTCGGGGACGAAGCCTTCGACACAAAGACACTTGTGGTGGCTTAGCATTCTGCGAACGAAAGAAACAAGGCAAAACGCACTCGTAGTTGCATCTCCAACAAAAGAGCCATATCGGAGACGTCTTCTTTACGACGCTTCTCCGCCTCTTCTCCACTCGCGCCCACTCGTGCCGTCTCGAAATCAATCAGCGCATATCGGCGCTCTGGCCCACGAAAGCCAGCCAGTCGCACAGTACGGCCAGCAACCATGATACCTCGAGGTATTACGATGTCACACATAAGATTGCTGCTCCAGATGTCGCCATGGGTAATGTCATGTCTATGAAAGAACGCTAGGGCCTAGATTGTCAAAAAGAAAATGAGAGGATTGTAGACATTGAACCTCACCTGTAATGCTCCTCGGCCATAGTGAACGAAATCAGCAACTGTCGCGTAGTCTGGAGTTGTTGCGTCGCCCCATCTGGCCAACATGAATCACTTCGGCAGAACGAATTCAAGTTCGCCCACCGTTCCATCACAATAAAGACTGCATCCCCGAGCCACACATAGTCGACGACTGGAACGGAGAAATTGAAGCCGTCTTGAAGGACCGCAGCAGAATTTAGATGCACCAGGACGTCGAGCTCTCCTCCGCGTCGACAATGGGGGACAAATCTGTTCGCAATTGTAAGTAGGAAGCTGGGGTGGAAGGAGACAAAACAAGCTTTATGATCACATCACGTCCCTCGTTGTCTTGCGCAGGCCAAATTCGTGGGGCCTGTGGTAAGTAATGGTTAGCGAGTTGCGTCCTAAAATTCAATGACTGACACCGAAGTCCCAGAGAGCATCATCGTCATCTCTCTCCAGCATTTCAATGAATCGTCGGTTCAAGGGGGCAGACTTCCGACTACGTAGAAGGCTTGGAATGAAGAAGTTGATCGGCTCAGCGACCTTGTAGAGATGGTAGCCCTTGAAGGACAGAAACGGCGCCGCATATTTTGTCCAAAATTTGACCCAGCGGGCTCGGTCTTGAGGAGGGCGCCGCGAGTAAGAACCATCGGCTGGGATTTCGTCCCAATCCCAAAATTCTTTATTGCGACCAGGAAAACCCCACAGGTAGGACCGGATAGTCCAATAGACTAGAGGTTTGGTGACTACAATGATGGTAGTTGTAGCTGCAGCGGCTAGCGCTATTGTTGATATGGCTCTGGTCAACATAATTGGAGCTTCATTATTGTGAGGTGAGTCGAAGACATGCATAATAATAGTAAGAACCCACACTGGAGATCTAAGGTTCCCCAGGTAGCCGTAGTGAGTATATCGCCTTATAGCTTGCTCCAAACCTTCACCCCACCGTAGAAGGGGTTCCAAGGCTTGGTCGGGTAGCCAAAAGTGAGCCAAATCGGAAACGGGTCGTCACGCGTTACTCAACAATTGTGCTTGCCCAACGACTGCGACGAGTTCCCCACCAATTCTCTATTCTTTCACGAAATCCGCGCCTGAGGTCGCGTTAAACCATCTACCACACCAAACTCCAACGATAATACCCCACGAATCACGCGAACTGACGCGTTAACCGCCACGCAGCCCAGAAACTAAATGCCGACCACCTCTACAAGATACAACCGACCCAGCAGCCCCGAGGAGGCGGAGTCGTCTGCGACTCCGCTACGATCTCGGTTGTCCACGATGCTACGCACAGGAAGCACATCCTCTCCAACAATCACTCATGGAGGGCAAACTCAGAAAATAAATGTGGTGACGCGTGTAGCCATTATAGGAGAGGCTGAAAAGGAAGAAGACAACGGCGCAAACATCAGAATGTATTTAAAGGTGCGTGGCAAGCTATACTAAGAAGATGTGGCCAACCCATTTGCGTTAGATTTCTCTGCCACTGGAAAACATTGCTCCTGGAAGTATTATTCCACTTTTTGCTGGTGAGTTGTCTTCAAAGCGCCACGACTAGCTAACTGAGTGCCTCCAGAGGAGAATGTGAAAGTCCTGGATTCTCAAGTCCATCCTCTGGACAAGAATTCCGTACCATATGATTTCTCCCCAGACCTATCGCCTCTTCTGCTTGACGCAGTGACCGCTTTGGATTGTACGCTATTCCGTTTCTTTGCCATTCTACAACATGCACTGACTTTTGTCAGTGAAACAACCAGCGCAGAATTTTCAAGCGGTTTATGGACTTTCTCCGCCTGGCTCTAATGGCTCAGTCATGGGATCTTTACGCTCACCAAAACTCGACGGCGCCAGCAGTAGTAGAAAGATTCCGCCACCTCCGATTGACATGAAATACACAGGCCAAATTATTGTCAGTGGGTACAGCATAGCTTATGTGGCGCCTACAATATTTCCGACGCGACTTTTACTTCATGACGACCATCCTCGGTCTTCTAGTAGTCGACGATCGTCTTCAGCGGAGCGTCACGCGAACTTTATGGGTGCTATAGATATGTGGGTTCCATTGATGGCCCAACCGCCGCGCTCACCGTACCTTGTGAGCTTTTTTACTCGCTTTGCCCTCCAACCTATCTCATCTCGTTCAAGCTATCCATTCCAACTCCACCGCAATGCCTTAACAATAGCATACGGTTGGCTCTATTCTCTCCCCCTCCCCAGTCGGGCTCGACTGCATCGTTATCCTCGACAGATTCTGGCGACCAATATGCTGGCTGCTGGGACCTTACATCCGACCCGCCTGTTACGCGAAAGACATCTCGCCGTCCCAGCATTTACAATAGGCAAGACGATAACCTGAGCGATTCTTCAGAGTCGGTGTTCGATGTAAATGGCGCTTTCCCGACAACGGACCGTGTTCGTATTCGGTGGGCCAAACGTCAAATCGAGGTTGGCTCAGAGGATGCTCGCCGGCGCGTTGGTGTCAGCGAAGTGAAAGGAGAGATGACTGTCGCAGTGCTGGGCAAGAAATGGAGCGAGGAACACCAGAAGGAAGGCATTGTGATGGAGCTGGACTACAAGGGCTCTTGCAAAAACGTGTTTTTCCCTGGCGTCGCGACAATGCTTGGGATGGATGTCAGTTTGACTGCCAAGGGTTCAGATGTGGCATGGCTGCCAGACCAGGAAGCTGGGTGGACGGTTGGAGGTGGGACTGGTTACACGGGCTTCGATGTTGGCGCCCCGCCCAAAGTCGCTGGGACCTCAAGACACGACAGTTTCGACTCCAACGCGCCGTTCCTTTCTGCGGACCGGTCGATTTCACGCCAAAGCTCAGCTTCTTCGCAGGCCTCGTTACTCCGCGGTTCTCTTCCTGTCAATAATGTTCCAGAATATTCGTTTGAAGGAACACCTAGCTCGCAAGGGACGTCCCTGGAGTCGTCGATGGCTTCGTCATCTGTGCCTTCCGCAACCGAATCCAGTGTTCTCCTTCGGCCACCAGGAGTACCCATAACAATTCATGTCGACATGAACAAAATCCTGCCATCCACGCGTGAGGCGAAGAACTCGTTCTCTTTCTCCATCAAGGGCACGGTCCTTGTTATCCCGAAAGCACGCAAAGTAGAAACAGACTCTGTCGACCCCGAGTCGGTCGTCTTTCCCTACTTCAGCGTGCTCGTTTCCAACTCCGAGTCTGTCACGAAGCTGGTCCGGAATACCATTGACTCTAGCTCCTCAACAGTCGAGGTCACTTATGCGGACTCGTCAAGCAAGACCGTGCTTCAGCGCAGCGACTACCTCAAGTGCAAAGACCAAGCGAGGATCTCGGTCAGGTCTAGCGCTGTGTTCGCGAGCAGCAACAGTGCAGCCACGACTCCGAATGGCTCAACAGCCAACATCAACGGTCGACCGCCAAGTCGGCCGAGAACGCCGAACCCTGGGTCCCGTGAGCGCGTTTCGTCCGGCACACGCGCGATGGCCGTTCTCGGCATGGCGCCGGCTGCCACTCGGCCGAAACGCGATGGCGCGCTTATGATCCCCAGTCTTCGGGCCGACGTCACCCTGCTGAAGCCGACGGAATCTGGGTCGCGGTACCCGTCCTCTTACTCCGTCCGGGTGACGCTGGCAGCTCCTGCAGATGCTGAGTCAGACTGGCTGGAGTTTGGCCTGGCGAAGGAGGGGAGTGGAAGCGATCTCTCTCCTCCGAAGGTAGAAATCGTCACTGTCAGCGTAGACGATGTACCTGTTATGCATGAGACGAGAGCAGCTACGGCGGAGACTAAGGAGGAGAGCGGTTCTGCTGGTTTGGGAGTCCCGTTTGGACAAGTAGGGCAAGAGTGGATGAGTTGGGTTCGGATGCGGGTTGGCGCAACAGGTGGTGGCCGGGTCGTCGTTGACTATCGCGTCAAGGACATCCATGGCGCTGATCCAAAAGGGAAGGGGAAGATGAAGGCAAGGGATCGGACGCGGTTTGAAGTCTATCTGCCGTCGTTTAATTTGCCTGTTGGCCGGCTGGAGGTCAATCTAGACGGCGTACCAGGTATTTTTCGTGTCTGATCTCGTTTCTCCTTGAACTAATGTCTCGACAGAATTACGAATAACAAACCTCCGGAGCAACTTTTCGCATGCCCAGACAACGCCCTCTGGGCAGAAATTTCTCCATTACTCCCTCCCGCCATTCTTCTACCCCCATATTTCGCTCAACCTGTCCCCAGACCGGGGCCTTCAGAATCAGCTCTTTCTTGGATTTATCCTGCTCCTGATGAATCTGGGACTTGTGGCCTTGGCTATCCACATAGAACACCGTTCACATCCGCCTTTCTTCCCCCACAATGCGGCAGGACTGGCCGTTGACAGTGGCGGGTACCCAACCCTGGACAGTCCACAAGTACACGAGCCCATCACGATCACGGTCACGGTTAGCGCCACGGTCTACCAGCCCACCGGCTGCTGGCCGTGGCAGCAGCTCCCCACCAGCGCCAGTAGTGGTGAAGACCTCAACACACCGCTCCCCGAATCTACTCCCCACAACACCATCTCCGAAACTCCTCCGTCCATCGCTGATACCCAATCACCTGACCCGCCCCCCCGCCCAGTCCTCCCCCGTCGTCATCTCCATACCCAGATCCGAACCAACAACGGCGCTCTCCCTCCCGTCACTCGAATACATCTGGATGTGGCCCCCGCAGCTGGAAATCGACACCCGGTTGCTGAAGGAGAAGGCCTTGACTGGCGTCCGGTATGTGTGGCGGGTGGTGCAGTTTGTATTACATTTCCCTCTTGGTTGAATCTAGAACTGTTATCTGTAGCTTGTTTGGTGTCTTTTGCTTGTATTTTTTACTTATACCTATCTTAATGTTGTACGCTATGATCAAGCACGGAAATGAGAAGGAGGAAAATTCGTGTCATTTCAGAACGTTTGCAGAAAAGCAGGCCTTGTTAGATGCAATGAAGAGCAGGCTAATCACATGACTCAAGTTCCTCGATACCACGACTCACGTGATCCCAAGCAGATGAATTGTCCTTCAAAAAGAGAAAAATATGTGGTAGTACAGTAAAGCAATGGGTTGGGAGCGGAACCAATCAGTCTTTCATCCACATAGCCCATGATTCCCCGAAATCTATAGGTTTCGGGGGTCCACCATGGGTTATGTGGATCTCAACTGCGGGCTCATAAGGTAGGATAGGATATGGAATAAGTATAGGGCGGGATGAGCATAGATACTAGTCGTTCGCTCATAGATCGACGTCAGTGTCGCTGTCGCTGTCGGTTTCGGTGTCCGTGTCCGTGTCGGTCTCAAAAGTTCGTTGCTTCTTGCCCACACGCGAAGAGTCGACTTCCAGATTGGGGTGGACAAACGCTGGCAAGGCTTTAGTCGAGTTCCAAAATGTGATGGCTATGACCCACCTTTGCGCTTTGCACCAGCCGCCACAGTTGCTTCTTCCGCTTGCTCCTCCATGTCACACCTGTGTCATGGGTCATTGTCTAGATCCAGTCGATTGAGCGAGAACTACTCACATAAGATCGATGGCGATAGTGACAACTTGCTCAAACGTCTCCTTGAGAGTCAAATCTGTAATTTGACGCCAGTCGCGGCGATCACGGACCTGGAACGCTAATGCAAGCTTGAAGGCACCTACAACAAGTTCGTCATTACGGGGCTTTGAGACGGTGGCAGAGAATGGAATGAGAGCGGCGAGGGTAATTGGGCTGGTGATAATCTCACGGAGGTGCTATAGCAAGCGTTGAGCGGGATGAAATTAGAGAAAACGGAGCTACCGAACGCACGTCTAAGTCTTGATTTGGGTGGTGTCGTCGGGTGGCATACAAAGCTTGGCAGGCAGCGAGGTCAATGAAGCTGTTAGCTACTGCGGTATCATTCTTTTTTTTCCTCTTCAGTTATCGGCTGACGAATGTTAATACGACTTCGAGACAAAGGCCCCATTTGCACGTTACTATTGCGAAGACTGTGGCAGAGCGATCCAGTGAAGTTAGCATCAGGCATTGCGAGAGATCAGAGAGTGGCGGGAAATTACGGCCTGCTGGATTGGTGAAAGAACCTGGCGGAAGGAGGCTACTTGATGAGCAGAGCTGGTGAGGTTGTGGCAGACGAGTGAAAGGTACGAGTGAGGTTGTGACGCGATGTCACTATCTGAAAGACCAAGTCCAAGTGCAGGTCATACCTTTGAAACGAGTAGCCAGTGCACCTGTTGCCACAAAGCCCAAGCGTTCAATGATGTGATGTCATATGTTTGAAAATCTTCAGGATTATATGGATAGCGTCAACTGGCCGAATCCGTGGCTTCATGCTCAAGCATGCGACGCATCAGAACCAAATGCTCGTCGTTCTTGCTAACATGTCCAAGAGATGGAGACCTATGGTTCGGTGGTGAGAAGAATGGGAGGGGGAATGGACTTGAGAGCATACCGAGGGTGTTCGAACTTTGCGCTTTTAATCCGACTATCCAGTATTTCCCTGAAACTCTCCCATTTGGACTTGTCCTCTCTAGAGCCAATGAACCCCGCCAAAATCTCGACTAGGCCTGTGCCATCCTCAAACAACTCATGTGCCCAACGCGCGAGAATATCCTGCACTCTGGCTGCGCAATGCTGTATTATAAGTGAGGGTCACTACTTGAGGCAAAGTAGTCCAATACCTTCGATGTTCCGGGGACTTGGAGTACGTCTCGAGGGAGAATATCGTGGAGGGTTTTAGTGATATCTGCCGCTAAACTGGCTCGTCCTAACTTCACATCCGTGTCGTAGAATGGAAGGGGGCCAGTTGCATACGCCTTGATAGCACGAGACAGTGGCTCTGAGCGGTCTTGTAGAGTTTTGCGAACGACCTTAGAGAGGATTTCGCCATTCGTGGTGCGGACAGTGCTATTATTGAGAGTCAACATGAACTACGACTGACAAAACAAGAGAGGATACGAACGAGTCGGCGTCCTGCTGAACTGCAGCAAGCATGATGCAGGAGAATCAATGGCCAAAAGCTCATCGCCAAGGTACTGGTCGGAGTTGAAGCTTTGGTTAGTCTGATCGGATCAAATCGGACCAAGCGTGGGTACTTATTGTAATCCGCATTGTGCGCACGATTCAAGGTACAGTAGATGCTACATAGGATTGACACGTGCTTAGTGGGAAGCCCGCAACCCGCAACAAGGGGACGCGTCGTCTTGCGAGATTACGGAGAAGGATCAGAACGGGTTCTCCCCACAGGCTCACCGTCACCGCCGCCGCATTGGATCCCAGAGACTCAAAAGTAGCTTCATCGGCCGAATCAGCCAGCCAGAGCAACTCGATTGCATACTGTCGTATGAATCTTAGAGAAGATAGCTTTCCGATTCTCCTCCACCAGGAGCATTCAATAGACTTGTACGGTCCGCCCGAGCAACCACACTCATAATCCACCTGCAGACGGGCCATGACCAAAGATCTATTGAAATCGTAGTGCCCACGACGCGCCGCGAGGAATGCTAGGAGTGTGGAAGTTCGTCACCGCTCTCCCTTTTGGTCGAGTCTCTGGCCAGGTAAGCGTCAGGGGATTACCCGCTGCTTTGCCCCGTCGTCACCAAAAAGTGTTGAGGCTGATGGGAACCCTTCAAAGCTTTGAGTCAGTCAGTCGCTTCTTGCATACAAACGCAAAAACACTCAGCGTCAGTTTCGAAGCCCGTTAAAGACACTGTCCGATAGTGGTATGCTGTCTTTGAAACACGCGTTTGGTCTTCCAGAATGAAGGAATTAAGCCCAAGGCCCACGACAAGGGAGCGTGAGGGTAGCAAGCCCTGCCTCGGGGATAAGAGTCATTCTTCATCCGACGATGAGCATGAGTAAAGGCGCCTGGGACCGGGGGGGAGGGCTGAAATTTGAAAACATTGCAGTTGACCGGCAAGTGCTGATAGTCGTGTGTTGTTGTGTGCGAAGGATTCCGAAGAGCCTAAACTTCTATGAAAGAGATCCTGCCCTTCTTATACTCTTGAGTGAGTCTGCCGCGGCCAAAATTTCATGTCTTGATCGCATCCGCAATTACCTGCAGCCCGTGGCGGCCTAGGTACAACTGTCTCGTTCACCTATCGGAGGTTTCACTGGCTCCAACCACAGGAATGGCGGCTGGCCAGCAAAGTGCACTGTAAATAAACAGTTCGTCGCAAAGCCCATTTCCTGGTGAAATCAACAGTCAAAAATTTCCAGGGAACAAACTCCAGGGCCCCTCGTGCTGCGCGAAGAGCTCTCTCAGCTCTTGCTTGAGGTCGGACGATGGCGGTTCGAGGTGTACAGGCCCATGGTTGACGGTCCAGAGTGGTCAGCGAAGTGTATTCCGTTGACGGTTGGCAAAACCAACATAAGTAAGCCTCGCGCATCATGTGTTACGTCACGCGTTTGCGGCTTGGATCACGACGATGACCACAACCAGCAAGCGTCCGTCCACCAGCGACCTCCCTGCTACAAAGCGCGTCAAAGCCTATAAAACTTGTTCCTTGCTCCCTCGCATCTTCGCTGACGACTCCGTCGACGCCCAGATCACGCGCTATGACCAGACCACCACCCACTTGACCCTGACCCTTACTCTGCTCGACGCTCCGACAAGTTCGTTCCAAGCTAAATTCCCCTCGCATCTCGTCAAAAAATTCCTTTCGACCAACGCTCAACTCCAAGTCGAAGATCATGTTCGCCTATACTTGCTCAATTTCAGTACCATCGTCAACCACGAAGATTGTCTTGCAATTGTCTTTGAAGACGAGGCCATTTTCCACAAAATACCCCGCGCCGTCGACTATCGTGAGTTTCTGACGCGTTTTCTCCCTCATTTGGGGCTAAAGGAAGTGCTTCAACCTTTTCAACTGTGTCTCGTCCTCAAGCCCCTTCGCCCTACCAATCATACGCAAATTTCTGTGCCGGCTTCGATCACACCCTCAAAAAAATATCGATTTCGCCCCTTTCAGATGCCACCATTATCAGCGCATATCTCCGATACAACTTCCTGGTCGAGGTACTTACTGTTCTCACTCCCCGTTTCGGCGTTTCTTGAATCACGATTAGTTCTTGAGCTATTCCCACGACGCCGCTTCGTCCGCATATGTGTCAGATTACACTCGTGTTCCCGAAAGAATGCGCTTGCGCAGCCAGATGAAAGAGTGGCCAGATGCAATGGCCAGCCGCATCTTGCAGGTCCAACTTTCCCACGACGTGCAAGAGGTCGAGCAAACACTGGAGCGGGGCTGTTTCTACCTGCTGGATTGGCTCGTGTTCACAGAGAAAGCAAACTTCACCGAGGCCAAGATCAACAAGGCCTATCCCATACGGAAAATCAGTCCCGACAACGAGTACTACCAAAATGACATCGCAGATTTGCTGAAGTTTGCGTCTTTCTCCAAGACCACTCTTCCTGCACTGATTACTCAATCACAGGCGGAAAGCAACTTTGGGATTGTAAACTGCCTATATAAACAGACGAATGTGTGTGGAAAACCCAATAACTTGTACTGTAAATAAATATTTTGTTGGAAACCTGGTGAAATGATTAGTTAAAAATCAAGCAGTTTCCTGGAAACTCCAGGGCCTGGACCTGCGATGAACCGAAGAGCTGGAACATGCCAGCGAGCTACGATGAGTGGTCTTTCGGCCCGGACTGGATGCCGATTTCAAATCATGCGGCGTCTTCGCTCTCAGAGAAGACCTCTTGCACATCTTGCATGAGTTTGCAGTGGTTCGAGGTGTTGTTGACGCTGCAACGCGGTCAGCGAAGTGTGTTCTCGTGACCCAGCAACACCAACAATTGAATTTGATTCAATACTCGTTGATATCCAGATCCTCAAATCGGGGGCCAATGATGTCGGAGGCTATCCCGACGCAATTGAGAAGCCTGTCGAGGACCAAATTGCCCCGCTCCAACAGCGTAGCCACAACGCCCGGCGCCTGCTCGTCGCCCAGCCGCTGGACTGTAAACGCAAAGTCGATCAGCACAAGTCCGTCGCGATCGGGAGAGTAGCCCGGGCCATTGGGCATGAGTATCTGGCCGCCGTGGAAGTCGCCCTGGTCCACGCCTGCGTAAAGAAGGGCGCGCAAACACTCGCGGACATGCTGCACCTGATAGCTCATTAGCTAATCGTACAAAATCAGAAAATCAGACAAACAAATGCAGTTTGAGTCCCCACACTCCAATCAGAGACTTGAACATCGGAGAGGGGCGTGCCAGGAATGACCTCGAGGAGTGCACCATAAGCAACAGATCCGTTCTCTAGACTAAACTGACAAAACATTATGCGATGTACCCTGGCAAATGGTTCAACTCACTTGATGCAACCCATACGAATGCGGTAGCATTGAGCCCTGATACTGTTGCAAACGGTGATAGACAGATTCTTCTCTCTGCACGAGGTCTAGAGCAGAATGCAGCGATCGCAGTCGGAACGATGGATTTGCTACATATTCAAAGTCTTCAAGGAGGAACTTGCTATCAGCAGGAAACAATATGCCCCAAAAAAGCTTGAGGCAGACGGGAGGCGAGACTTGACCATCCTCGGTTAGTAGAACGCCAAAGAAGACCTGTGAAAACGCGTCGGGCTTGTGACGAACGACCGTTGTGATCTTGAAAGTCACCGCTGGCCCTGCCAAAATGTCGTCTATGCAGGAGGCACGTGGACGGCTCGCGCGGGTGACGTATTTGTACGTATAACGGGGTACTTCGGGGGAAGGAAACGGACTTCTCCAAGGTCGCTCCTGCTTTGCAAACGCGTCGACTTTGACTTGTAATGTTGCTCCACAGTCAAGAGGATGGGCAAAACACCGTTGCGCGGCCTCCTCTTTGAAAGACAGAAAAGCTTGGAGTTCTGGTAGACTTCGCTGGAGGGTATAACGGTCGAAGTGCTGGAAGTTGAGAGGATCCATCGTGGGGGCCACAGGGTGCGTGTTGTCGTTCAGCGCGCCATGGACCGGTCTGTACCATGGTAATCCATCGAACTTGCGAAACGAAGGTTGGAGCAGAAGGAAGTTGACAAGGTTTCGAAGTGAATGCGGGCCGGAAGCCACATCGAAGATCATGCGTTGAACGCAATAGATTATGAGTACGTCGATAGAGTCCACAATAGTTGCCTTGTACTCATCGGTAACGAGGATATATTCTGGCCGTTGCAGCTTCAGCAGTTCGTTCCACTCGGTCAATAACGCAAGACAGGTCGAGCAGTGGATGACGTCACTGGCAAAACCATGCCAACAAATAGTTTCCTCGCGCTGCGCTGTTGCATTAGTCGCCCCAAGACAATTCAGGTCACTGAACCTGGAATATGATGATCATGAAGAGCTTCCTCTCCGTCCACCGTGGCCGGCTATGATACACATGCACAACATCACGGTCTGAGCAGCATGTGAGTAGAGGCAACTTGGGTTTTTCAGCTAACCAAACGAGGTATGACATTCAAAAGAGATCGAGGGGTACGCAGAGCGCCTTGGAATCATTTCCCGTTTGAAGAAATCTAGCACGGGTTCCACGTATTTTTGGACTGGTGTCTGGCTGGGCACGTTAGCCACGTTCAAACACGCGACAGAGATCGTACGATGAGCCAGTCTGTGGGAGCTGCAATTGTTTGAAGCGCAAGGCAGCCATGGATTGACGATAATGGCCAAGTTCAGGGAAAAAGTCTATCTCCATGGATGTGAAAGGCCTTGACTCAGACTGAGAGAGAGGGTGGGAACAACTGGCGACAGCGGGAAAATGGGGGCTTCTGGCAGCTAGCTTCTCACTCCCCGTGTCGAGAAAGTCAACGGGAGATTGCGGGGTGGTTGTCATTGGTTTTTGTTGGTGGAGGATCATGTCACAGGATGTCACGGCGATCACGGAGAGTCTGACTCAGTTCGAGTTCGAGCCTTCGAGGCTTCGAGCATTTGGTTTGTATTAGCTGCATATTGCGAAAATCAGACAATATAAATCAACATGATAACGCGCGCTTCGTAGAAAGCTCGCAACCCGCTACAAGGGGGCGCGTTGTCTTGCGAGGTTACGGGGAAGGATTTTAACAGGCACTCCCCAGAGGCGCACCGTCACCGCCGCCATCTTGGATCCCAGAGACTTGGGCGTGGTTTCATCGGTTGAACCGGCCAACTAAGGACATCTCGATTGCAGGCTTGCGCCTGAATCATAGAGCGATAGCTTTCGATTCCCCTCTAACCAGGAGCATTCTCAACGAACGTAGTCCGCCGGAACAGCAACCCCCTCGTAATCCACCTGCCAACCGACCATGAACAGTGGACTTCCTCATCTTGATCATGGCCTGCCGCAAAGAATGCTACGAGTGAGCGCCGCCCGCGACCACTCTCCTTGCTTCCGTCTCAGGCCAAATAAGCGTCAGGGGATTACCCGCTGCTTTGCCCCGTTGTCACCAAAGAGCGTTGAGGTTGATGGGAACCATTTAGTCAGTTAATTATCGCATGCAAACAAAAAAGCACTTAGCGTCGATTTCTAGAGCCTAGGCTAAGATTAGATTAGATAATCATGCTGTCTTTTTTTAAACACGCGTTTGGTCTTCCAGAAATGCAGGAATTAAGCCCAAGGCCCACGACAAGGGAGCGTGAGGGTAGCAAACCCTGCCTCGGGAAAAAGAGTTTCACGTACCTTGTATGACGAAGAAAACCAGCTTCGTCGCTCCTCAGTCAGAGCCCGAATTCCTTGGGGTCGACCATTCCGCGTACACGGCAGCTGATGCTGATCTTCGTATCCGACCACACCCGACGAATGCCGCGCTTACGAGGAGGCGGCAGCACCCGTTGGGGACCCGTGGGAGCATTGTGGGGTCCGGCACTGATAACGTAGGCGCCAGCGTAGTGAATGGGGAACGGCGCAGGACAGACAAGCTCGACTGGCCCTTGCCAAAGCGGCTCGCAAGTCGCAGTGGCTGGTTTAAGGGCACTCTTCTCAGGCACAGCCCGACGATGAGCAGGAGTAAAAGCGCCTGGGACCGGAGGGAGCGATCCGCAAGGCGGTGGGCCAGGGTGAGGGAGGGTTGCGGTAGTTGAAGACATTGCAGTTGACCGGCAAGTGCTGATAGTCGTGTGTGAAGGATTCCGAAGAGCCTAAACTTCTACGAAAGAGATCATGCCCTTCTTATACTCTGCCGCGGCCAAAAATTCATGTCTTGGTTGCATCCGCAACGAAACATGGCCCGCAGCGGCCTAGGAACAGCTGTCGACTGGCTCCAACGGAGGTTTCACTGGCTCCAAGACTCCGACTCAAGAGTAATCTGGCCTGCAACGAAGGTTCAAACGTTCAAGACAAGATAGTCCATGCCAGTGATCACATCACGTTTGCCTTGGCTTGATATTCAGGATACTAGCTGGATTGGAGAAGAAAATGAGGCTTTATGATGAGCCTCCTTCCGTTAGTTTGAGGATCAGACTGGCTTTCAACCAGTGAATCGAAAGGCAAAATTCTCCAAAAGAAAATAAGTATTAAGGTCGAAGACGTGATCATACAGTGAACATTAACAGTTGCATTGCGACGCTTCAGGCACCTCGCCCGCAGACTGCGTCGTAACATCAATTTCTTAGAAATAATGAGTTGAGCACAAAAAGCTGAACAAAAAGGACGCACTAGTATTGGCATCGTTTTGACCCTCCTTCTCCATTCCTGGCAGCGACAGCGCAATCTTCTTGAACAGACTTTTAACATTGTGCCCAGCTTTAGCAGAAGTTTCCATGAACATTATGTTCAGTTGCGTCGATTTAGCGGTCGCTTCCTCCAGCGTCACTTGCCTAATCGGCAGTTGAGCATCGAGAACAGCCAGACGAGCAAAGGACACACCGTTTGTCCGACAAATCTGCCTTGTTCCCGACCAGTACAATGATAACGTCGTTTCCACGCTCAGAACGTACATCTTCTATCCACTTCGTTGTCGACAAGAATGACTGCCGGTCTGGCGAAAGTTATGAGCAAGACACGGTGCAGGGCAGCGCGACTCACTTGTGATATCAAAAACAACAATTGCGACTGAGGAATCACGAATATATGAAGGTATAAGTGAGCGGAATCGCTCCTAGGGTGCTAATAAGCCGCTGTCCAAGACGTGGTTGGACAACTCACTTGGCCCGCAGTATCCCAAAGTTGTAACCTCACTGTCCTGTCCTCGAGATACATCGTTTTGCTGAGAAAGTCGATGCCGATGGTGGCCTGGTAGGTGTTGTCGAACGTGTCATACATAAAGCTGTCGAAAAGTGTTGAGGATCGGGGAATTTCACCGAAACCGCGGCCATTGCCTAGGCCTACCGAGTAATGAGACTTGTTTTGCCAACACTCTGGTCTCCCAGAAGTACAATCTTGGTGCGCTTGGGTGGCGAAGAGGAGAAATCTGCTGTTACAGGCGTCGTTGGCTGGTCCATTGGAAAGATGATGATGAGGAGAGCGGGAGAGCCGATGCTGCCGTGACCAGCACGTGGATCATCTTTTCTTTCCTCATACCTTCACCACGATCGACCAACTAAACATTTTTCTGCCACTGTCGGCTTGAATCGAGAATATCGCGGCGTTTTCTTAGACCTTTCGCTGCACAATATGTCTGAAACCGAAAAGACCAACACAATCGCAGTCACCGGCCTCCCTAAATCCTTCTTTCAGCCTGCTCTGCTGGACGTTCTGAGGGATCACTTCGCCACATATGGCCAGATGAACAACTTCGTCCCGCTATCTACATTTGGCCGGATACTGGTGGTGTATTATCACGAAAACGACGCGGAAAAGGCCAAAATAAACTCTGATCCAATCGTTGTTGAGCATAGTGCCGAAAGGTGTGTCCTGTTCTTAACGCGCCATAGCTGATCAAAAAGCAAGACCAGAGATTGTCCTCCGCGTTTACCGTGCCGATCCAAGTCCGCTTTTACCTGAGGAAATCATCCCTGACTACCTCCGACCACCTGAAAGCGACAAGAATTTCTTGATTTCCCCACCCGGAAGCCCTCCAGTCGGCTGGACGCAAACTCGGGAGGAGGCCCCGAATGCGACACCTTTAGCAGATGATCTCATGACCGCATTACGAAAACTCCAACTCAGCGAACGCAAGACTGGTGTTGAGGTCCTCATCGAACCAGAGGGAGGTGAAGGAGTTGGCGTCTACGTTGAAGACTGTGATGGAGAGCCAGAACAACGTGAAGAAGAATGGGTATATGGCGAATCGGCACCTGCACGTGCTCGATGGCAGCCTACCGCCATGCCTCCACCATTGCAGTGAACAGTGAGTACAACGACTGCTATTGTTCCCTTATCGGACGAAAAAAAACTCAGACCTGTTCTGACCCTTGTGGAGAAAACTTCATATTGCCTTTTTAATCTGATCTTTTGCTTCCCACACCGTCTTTCAAACACTCAACTAACAACTCTCGCAGAGAATTCGAACTACCGTGCTCGTGCGTAATATGTACACATGCTATCCAGAATATGCCGTAGGAAACCAACAAACAAACATAAATAAGAAGATAATGCAGAATCAAGACGACAGTACCTGCCCATCTGGCTCAACGGGACGCTCTACCACCACTTCCGTTTCCTCAAAAATCTTCTCCTTCTCTTCGAGCCCCGCATGTGGTTTAGGGTTCCACGGGCCCATATCACTCATCGAACAACCGCCTTCACAAACACACTCCCCTCCAAGCTGCTGCGGCAACATCTCCTTGTCGATTTGCTCCAGCAATAATGGCCGGTAGACGCTGGGCCCGCCCACAATGTGAACCTTGCGCACGGTTTGCTCGTCAAGCCACTTTTTTATGACGGACCAGATGGCGGTGAATGCCCACGGCGCGTTGATGATGTAGAAGGCCCCCATCAACTCTGGATAGTAGTTTTGGCCAATCGTTGTGGCGGCGTTCACATAGTCCTATAAGGTCTGTGAGCTTGGGCCCAGACGGTGCAGAGGCTCGTCACCTTTACGCGTATGAAATTGGAAAGAGATACGCCTCCCAGGTCGAGAATGGTCAAGGATGTTTCGACGGGATGACCAACAGCAGCGGAGCAGGCAGGCAAGCGAGTTGTGAGGAATGATTCGTATTCGACAACGAGGTGCTGCAGGAGTCGTTCTTGTGTGGTACAGGCGTATAAGGCCTTCATGTTCAAGTTTCCGATGCATTCGATGTAAACAGGGCGACCTGACTTGTCCATCGCGTGATAATATTGGGGGTAGTACCTGGGAATGTCTGCTTGAGTTGTCTGACACTAAAAGCATTCCGGCTGCTCAACTTGTCGACTTCCCGCTCTTCATGAAAATCAAAGGTCCTTTTGACGCCAGATTAGCGTCAGCGCCGGAGTACATTGCGAGAGCTGTCTTACGAAACCAATTCGGCAACCTTGAATTCTTTCCGCCACTTCTCAGCCTTCAGCAGCATCTCCTTGGCCTTCTGGACATCGAATTTGCGAGCTCGGAGAAATCTGTGGGTCCCTTGAGTGATGTCGACGCTATAAGGTAGCGGTAGCGGTGCGCACCTGAGCAAGGTAGCATCGTCGTGGCGAGCTTCGATGAACGCTTCACTGGCTTGTAACTCGCTCTTGATTTTGGCGAGGGCGGCTTCTTGGGTGGACGTCAAATTTCCCAGTCGACCAGGCGGGGGTGTCCATTTCGTATTCGTGGCGGGGAGTTGTGTCGTCATCGTAACAGTCATTGGCGAGGGGGCAAAAAGAGTGGAGGGGACGAGCGAGTGTTGAGAGAGACAGCAAACAGGGACGGCAAGGCACCAGATGGAAAATGAAATTGGAAAGATGATCTGCGGCTGTTGTGGTGTGGAGAGAGAAAATGACGCTGGCTCCGCGAGTTCACGCCTCTGACGAGCTGGTCAGAGCTACGAAAAACGCTTCCTTCAATTCCGTTGGCTGTTGGTCGCTTGACGTTATTACTGACGATCACACTATCTTGGCACCAAGTGTCGTACAAAATACGCGTAATTTCCGTCTAACTTCAGCCCTTTCACCCATCGCCGTCAAACTCAGCGCAGGTTTATCTGAGCCCGCGTTATCATCATCCATTGCGGTCAGCTCGTAGCGCCCGAATGCCCAGTTCAATATGTTCCGACCTTTCCCAGTCAACCGTATGAAGCCTTTGATTCGCCAGACACTCTCTTTGGACAGTTTGGCCAGCGCATCTGATAATACTTGCTCGTCAATGGTTTGGGGATCTTCCTCGCGGACATCATCCTCTATGCCTTCCGCGTGCTTGTGTTCGTGTTGGTGGGGAGACCTGCCGGTGAAGATAGTCACTGTCTCGACCTCGTCGTTATGCGTCGGCTCAACAATGGGTGGTTCTGATGCAGCGAATAGTTTTGTGTCGATGCCGAATATGAGCTTCGGGTCTACACCCTGACGTCCTTGACATCGTATCTTGGGCGTCAATTCGTTGAGCGTGTATAGGTGATCCATGACAGTGTCTAGTGCGCGCTCAGTGACATCCTCCCATTTATTCTGAACCCTAATCAGCCTCTTGCTAAGATAGCATATGACAACTCACGACGAGGATAATGTCGGTATAAGATGCTTGCATCCTGGCCTACCACACTTAGGTCAGCTCCTCAGGCTTTAGCTTCCTATCAAGAAGCAACCTACAGTCGGTGAAGTATCCTCATATCCAGTAAAATTTTCTGCGTCGATAACTGTAACGATAGCGTCGAGTTTGAGGTCTCCGTTCGTTGACTTCTCTAATTCGCGTATTTGAAACGCAAGAGTGGCAGGGAAGGCGGAACCTCTATCAAGTACAAATGAGGCGCAGCCCCACAGCGCAATTAGAGGCGTGCCAATGCGGACTTACGAGCATTCGATAATGATGCGGTCGGGATTAAACTTTTCTGCGTTGTTCTGAGTTGGTTTGTACTCATCCGAAGCAAGCTCACCTCGAATCTCAAGGAGCGCAGTCTGCATCTGGCCGACAAGCACACAACACCTAGGATTTTTAGTGCCATCTTCTCTGACATGACCGTTTCAACCATTACTAACATGCATCCATTGAGAATTTCGCTGACTGCCGTCAGGCTGGATTGCTTCGCCAGTTGGCTGTCGACCTCGATGTCGCCGAATTCGTTCTTCAGCAGTACGACTTTATAGTCTTTTGGAAGTTGTGGAAGAAGAGACAGGATGATGGAGCTGTCCCGGGATTCAGGGAGTGAGATCCAGCGCGAACTCGCCCTACGTCTTTCCGGCTCCAAGAAAACCAGTGAACACCGTTATCGGGGGCATTGTTGACCTGCTTGAAGTGGTTCAGGTCAAGTGGATGACGCGTACTGTCACGGTCACGTCGCGTGACGCACGACCCGCACTAGCACAGCCGTGATTCAAAAATGTTTAGGTGGGAAACGTTAGTGGGAATATATAAAGTTTTGCAATTAATTTTTTATTGTGTAAAAACTTTGAGTTTTTCTGCCTTACTTGGCTGGGGTAAAAGGATTTTTAGGCCCAAAATATTTAATGTTTTGCAATGAGTTTTTGGGCCAAGAAAAATTTTATATATTCCCACTAACGTTTCCCACCTAAACATTTTTGAATCACGGCTGTGAGTATCGTCCTGATTCATGCAGAAGCCATACAACAGGCGAGAACTAGTTTGACTTCTTTTCTTTTACTTACATACAACTTACAGTCCCTACAACTATGATCAAAGATTCAGTTGCTGACTCGGAGCTGTCCGATTTCATCCTCTGTTCATGGTGTTTCCCGCTCCCCTGGGATTTGCGTCAGTAAACTGAGCCCATTTTTCGTCTTTTTGCCGTTTGGTCTCTTCTTTTTCAGCTCCATCCCTGGTGCCGTCCATTTGAGAGTCCAGATCCAGCTGCTCTGAAGATGTCAACTCGTTCTCGGACGCAGGACTAGAACATAATTTAGCCCAGTGTCTGAGGAATGGTAGATTGATACACACCCTCCACCGCTGATGAACTTTCCCTGCTCTTGCTCTATTTGAAGAAGCTCATCGACAGTCATGGTTGGTAGACGATGACTGGGTCCAAAAACTTGGCCCGCCAATCGAGCACGATCAGAGGCTCCAGAGGGAAGGAGCGTAAATGGCCGAAGAGGCTGCAATTGTCAGGCAAATTCCAGTTTAAGATGAGAAGCACTGACTTTGTTCTGCGCATCAAGTATCGGGCCCTTGCCATCTGGCCCTGACGGGGAATCCAGTTTCCACATTGACTCGTCTGCTGATCGTTCTTTGCCCCTGCGATCTTGTTCTGGTGGTGGTCGTGGTGGCTGCGGAGGGAATTGCACGACTTTCTCCAGCATTTCAAGTTGCTGACCAAAACTGACGAGTTGGGATTGAGCTTGTGCATAACAAAGTCGCAAGAGAAGTAGTGTCGTTTCACGGAGGTCGTCCTCCCATTCTGAATCTTCGTCTTCGTCCTCATCGTTTACGGATGGCTTCGGAAGAAGCGACGCGATAAGATCCAAATCAGATTCAGTGACTCCTTCAGCTGGGAGTTGACCTCGTCGTTTCCGGATGACCTGTCCCGCCTTGCTCAGTCCCATAAACACTGAAACGGCGGATACCACACTTGTATCTTGTTCCGAAGGTCCCTCTCCTGTTGGAATTGTTTGATTTTGAGCTCTCTGCGGCTGGCTGCGTCTTTGATTATTTGGAGGCTTTGCGTATGTAACGCTCGTTCTGCCTCTGGTACAATCTCATAGTCCTCCAAGCTGGAGACAAGTTTAGAAAGGTGGCCCTGATTAGAACTCAATGTCTGACAGAGTCATCGAAGGAACAGGAAATGCTTGCCTGACATTTCTTCACGTTGGCGATGTCATCTGCAGGTTGTCCAACTCTCACCCGGCTTTGCAGTTCTGAGGTCGCAAAGGGTGCCGTAAGGTATATTAAATCGCGGGTCGATATATCTTCAAGTGTTTCGTTGGGGCTGAAGAGGGAAAGGCCCGCGATGCGAGCATTCAAAGCTGTTAGATCAGCAAGACTCGACCGAATGAGACTCTACGGCCTCCAAGTTAACACAGAGGGTGGCGGACGTCAATCAAGCGATGAACCTGAGTAGACTCTTCAAACGGCGACTGGCTTGCAGCGGTTGAGGCAGTTTTTAAAGCTTGCGAGAACAGGGCGGAGGACAACGACATGATAGGAACAAATGTCACGCTACCGTGACCGCGTCATCATTCTGCATCAACAAGACCCTCATGTTGTCCAAGTCCCAGAAGCGACCCGGTGAAGAGTTTCCCAACGCTGCTAAACGCGTCAAACGCGATAATATCACGCTCAAAGACAAGAATGCCACCAACCGTACAAACTCTGCATCCACCCCATCTAATTCAACGGACGACTGGTTTATGACCCCTCGCCATAATGCTCCAGCCAAACTTTTTGTCAAGAAGCCGACGGTTATGGATGTCGAGGAAGTCGGAGAGAACGAGGAGATGGCCAGTCTAGACAGCGAACCACCGCCTGGTCTATCCAAGGCCGCCTGGAAAAATAAGCAACGTAAACTACGAGCAAAGCAGCGGAAGTTTCAGGCAGCAGATCCTGCGGGTAACTCAACGAGGCAGAAAACCAGCACTGTTGATGTCGACATGGTTGTTGACCCTCCTGTAAAACTGCACCAATCAGAGGCCCCTAAACCGAAAGTTAAGGCCGACGTGATCTCGGCGAATGTTGAAACGCTGGCCAAATCTCCGTCTCCGCCTCCACCTATAACTTCAACTACTCCTCCTGTTCCCCAGGTATGTGTCTTTGCGTCGCACACAACAAGACACTGACCCACCAATAGCCACCCTCTCGGTACACAACTCTAGCTTCGACACCACAAAATGGAAGCATATTCTCTGTTATTGGCGTGGTCGCATTCGTGGCACCTCTCAAGAAAACGAGTAGTGGAGGTGAAATGCTCCTTGATGGTTATGCACAATCATGTTCTGATCTTTTCACAAGACTGGAGCCATCATATGCGAATAGTCGATTCTTCCAACTGCAATGCCACAGTTCCTTCGAATAAGGAGGGTTATACGATCAACTCTTTTGCCTCAAAGCATTCCGAATGGTTACCCAACGTGCAAGTGGGAAGCGTTGTCATTCTGCATGGCCTCAAGGTGCGTAAATAACAACGCTTCCCCTCATGTTTCGCCTCAAATAACCCAGAGCAAACCCGATACAAACTGGGGGGCTGTCGGCTATAAAGACTTATTCCAGTGGGCTATATATGATGCGATTGGCGGTCGAGTATGGCATGGGGATCTAGGACAAGCTCCAAGTTCCGAGCTCATTACTGACAAATCTGGACGGCGCCGTAACTTTTCTCCGTTCTATGCTGCTTCTGGCGAGGACATGAACTATTGCATTGGACTGCATGATTGGTGGACTACAGTTCAAGACATCCGTGGCAAAGACGTTATTAATGTCCAGATCACCCCTCCCTCCAGGCGCCCGCACTGCAACCCATCGCAAGCAAATTCACAATATTTTGATTGGACGGCCGAAGTACGTGCGTTGTTGTAGTATTTTCGTTTCTTACCCACTTTTATTTCTTCAGGTATTGCATAAGCAACAAAACGAGAAAACCTATACATTATATCTCACGGACTACACGGAGATTCCCGAGGCCCGTTCCTGCCACCAGGATTGGTGTCCTTCTGCACTCAGCGGATGCGTGCTGCGCCTCGAAATGTTCGATAAGGCCCGACAGATAGGCCCAACCATGACTGTAGGACAAATCTACTGTCTCAAAAACATACGGAAAGATTTTTTCTACGACAACAAGCTGCAAGGAAAGATCGTCGAAAACAAAATATCAAAACTCAATGAAAACGACCACCGTGTTGCGGAAATTCTCGCGTCAGAATTCTTTCTTACTCTTTGACCCTATCTAACATGTGGCTTCAGACGAAAAGCTCAAGTGGACATCTCTCTGGCGAATGTTTCGGAATGCGAAAGTGAGGTCACGTGCGTCGAGAATATCCGTCCTGGCTTCAATGGCCAACTACTTGTCGAGGTCAGCACTTGAGAACAGAGACATAATGATTGACCCGCTGATGAACGCTACAGCTAGTTCGTTCTGAAAACAGCGAAATCTATGTGACCGACTACACAACACATCCTCAACTTCCATTACTTCGTTATTCGTGGGCCAAGGGCTTGGATCATCGTATTCTCCAGATCAGCCTCTTTGACAAACAGGCCGAACATGCCAGGCTCTTGCAAACTGGCCAATACTTTGTGTTTGAGTATGTGCGAATCAACCAGAAATACTCTTCTCTGTCTGGCCGCATGGGTGGCGACAAGATGTTGATGCACAAGACGAGTCTACAAAGCCCGAAATTTGGACATCTGGTCGAGGAACTGATTCAGTGGGTGCTCTTTTTTTTTTTGTTTCGCTAGTTTATTTATTATCTTGTTGTAGACGCAAAAAGAATATCGGAGGACCCCAGCATGTGTCGCCTCACAACCCTATAATGAAGTCAATCGCTACGCCAACAGCGTCACCGCCGAAAAAAAGTATTTCCCCGAAACCCTTTGCTGCTACTTCTACCTCCATACCAACGATCAGGCCCGCTATCACTTCGTCTGGGAAGGCCGCTCTTGCACGCACTCCTCAATCTGACGCCACACACACCATCAATGAGCTCCAGTTCGCCGAGTTCAATGGACCGTTCATTATCCACGCTCGAGTCATCGACTTCCATCCTCTGAAGTTGGCACACGCATTCAAGCGAGTTTGTCGTCGCTGCCTCGCGGAGTACAGTGCTTTCCAACCAAGTTTCCAGCGTTGACCTCTTGTTCGCAGTGTTGAAGAAGAAGAATGTCATTTGTGCCATGACTCCAAATACGTGAAGGTCATCTGTCGTCTGTGTGTTCTAGTTGAGGACGAAAGTGGAGCACAACTCCAGTTGTCGATATCTGGGCGCGATGTATGACCCGTTAGTTCTCTTAGCAGGATACGCACTGACAGATTGACAGACACCAATACTGTCTGGCTTTGAGGCGGTTCTTTTGCATGAAAACCGAGAGGCTGCCGACCGGTTTTCGCAACGCATGCGACCTCTGCTAGGAAACTTGGAAGAAGTTCATACGGAGCTTGAGAACGGCCGGAGGCTTGAGCCTTCGGGCATGGCTATGAACTTGATGGTCGATCGCTGGCAAAACCGAGAGAAGGAGTGGGTGTATGGACTGCATAGTCTATGCGACATTTGAAGTTGGTCTGGTGATCGGCGGGATTGTACGTGCCATCATGCTCTGTCAGCATCGAGACAGTTTTTGGTCCTTGATCACATACTAGCTTCTTTGTGCCACCATCCCAGGTTACTGCTCACTCAGCAGTGGCACTGTTGAGACCTAGGCTCGCTGAGACCAGCTTCCGACGGTTGCTACTGATTCCAGTCCAATTCCAGTCGCTATTCAAGTCATACTTTCTTTCATAGCTAATGCTGGTTCGAGTCTACTACGTGTTACACTTTACTACTTTCCCATGACTTTACTACTTTACTATGCTATCCAACCACTCGAATATCGTCCCTAATGCAATTAGACCGAAGCTCTTTGCACCAAATTGATGCTGTTCCCTGATACTAAACTCGAATGCACTCCAAGCCCTCTCCAGTCCCCTCAGATTAGTCTGACTCGCCGGTTCCTGCTGCTTGTGCCACAACTTCTGCTGGACATCCCGCACAACCGCACTCGCGTGGTATCGGCAACGATAGATGCAGTCCGCCCTCCAACGTTTCTGGACGGACTTGGCGAGAATGGTGCCAATGACAATCTCTGACTCGAGCAGCGCTTGTCCCGCCTCTGTCGTGAGTGTGTGTGTGAGGCTGATATAGCGCAAGTCGGCGACGTATTTCGTGAAAGTGTTTTTCATATCTGTACTCGATGGTTGTGCAACTGGTGGTGTCCAGTTCAAGACACGTTCAATTTCGTGGAGAAGAGCAAAATGAATCGGATCCGAGATGATATTGTGTTTGGCCTGTCCATTTTGCGCTGCAGGAGAGGGCAGCTCAGTCTCGATGGAATTGAGCTTTATGGCGCGATATAAGGAGCCCAGGGCTTTGTCAGATGTGTAGTAATCCTCCTCGCGCGGCTTAACGACCTCAGCGGCATGCCTGAGCTTGATGTGAGTACCAAACAGTTGTGGCTTGCGAGTTTATTACCAGTCTGGTTTGCATCGAATGAGCAGCTTTGGCAACGGATTGGCATCAAGGTCGACAGGGATGCCCTGTTTAGGATAATCCACCGCCTGCGAACAAAGTGCGGCCAACTTGACGCAATCAGAATCATGCATGCCCTCCTGGAACGAGGTGAGCCACTGGGTTGCAAGTGTAACAAGCAAACCTTAGACTGATCTATAGAGCTCATTAGAAAACCCGATTTATGTGCTCTTTGAAGAACGCACCGGCTATGATCAAGAGTCGATCTGATAGTAAACCCTGGCCCCAACATGAGTCACACACAAAGTGGAGGATGCATCGATGACCACACATACCAACACGTCCGAATTGATATACTCGATGATGAAATCACAAATGTCGTCCACGGTACTGTCCCGTTCAAGTTTGAAGGTTTCGCCGTCAGGATAAGATGCTGGAGCTACCTGCCCCGATGGCAAGAGAGGGCTGTAGGGAATCACACTGTAGAGATCACTGGACAACGTCAGAACATTTTTTGTGAAGCGTACTCGTGCAATTACCCCTATTTGGGTGATTAGATAAGGAACACATCTCCGAATTCAGACCTACATCGAGATCGCCTCCACCAAGACAGCTTGCGAGGGAACGCGGCGCTAACAAACTGTGAGGATGGATAAGATATAGAGTTCAGATAAGCTTACCTTTGCTTCCTTCGTCTGTCGATGGAAGGACCACGACATTTTTCAGCCCTTCAAATGAGCAGAGCATACCAGCAGGCGGCTCTCCGATAGCCGTAACTCGTTGGATGTCACCCAAATGCGCAATCGGGGAACGAGAAATAGTGCAACTGCCTGTGAGCCAAGTGGGTTTTTCGTCCTCCGGTCGCTGAATGCATGCTGTTTAGAGGGACTGAGATTTTTCTGACGGATTTGCCCAAAAAATCCCACCATAAATTTTGCCCGGCGGTAGTACGTAGACATTTTCGAGACCCTCTCGCTTGTAGGCAGGTCCTTCGTCCGCAACCCCGACAAGCAGATACGATTCTGGAATCGGAATCCGTGCACTATGCTTGATTTCTCGTAGAACGTCATTAATTGCTACCTGACGCAGTTCTTCTAACCACTGATTGTCGATGCCTGGCATTGGCTGTTTTGCTTTTAAGGTCCAGCCCAAGTTTCTCTAGTCGATCCAAGATGAAAACTAGACGATATGGTCCCCCGAGAGAATGGTCACGGAGGATCTTGCGGAATTGAGCGATGCCATCATCAATTGTACGCGCATCGGCAACGGCGAGATTTTGAAGCTTGATGAAAGCTTCTTGTCGGACGTTTCTGTCTTCAAGTGCCATAACAAGAGGCCTATTCTCAATTGAGCGAATGACAAAAGGTAGCGTGCAGTACCCACCGGTTCAGATATGCTGTACTCGGTTTTTCGAACCTAGAGTGCTCTCAGCCACTAAATCAACGAGCGTATGTGAAAGACCCACGCCATGGCAATTTCGATTTCTGCATTCTCCTTTTGCTCCTTGTCGGACTCAAATTTCCGCATCGACGGACGAAGACGCATTTGAATTCCATCGGTGCGCTTATCCAATTGTGGGTCAACTCGCACTACTCCCTTGTATCCAAGAAAGCGAATCTGGAATGCAGATGGGGTTAAACGATCGGCGAGAGACCAGTTTCGAGCGGTACAAAGAGCAATCCAAATCCTCTCCGCAAGTTTCAAGGAAATGGTACCAACACCATCGGTATGAACATGCCTCCCTGGCGGGTTATTTGCATTTTCCCACCCAGGATTGACGATATCAGGCATCTCTTCCCACTCATGTGGCCCGATTTTTACTGATGGATCTGTGGCCGTAAATGCTTGTGCAAGACGAGCAGCGAATTTCGAGGGTGCCTTGAGGAGAGGGGTGCCTGCAAAGTTCCCGATGCTGTCACGGATGGATTGAGACGTAACATCTGTGCCTGTCGCACCCTTGAATGGGCTCATGAACCAAACAGCATGCCCTCGAAGGGCCGAGGTCGAGTATGCCAGGAACTCAAACATTCGCCCGCCAATGCAGAGTCCGTGTTTGAGAATATTACCCACACGTTCGCGGACGAAATGAGAGCCATCAACGTCACGTGCCCAGCGATATTGTAGCTTGTCCTAAGCAGATGAATGAACGTGTCAATAAAAACATAGCACAGTCGATTACAAACCTCGTCACGGAAATCGACACGGATAAAATGATTCTCATAACCTTGGAACTGACGAATAATACGATTGGACTGTACAGGGAAGGGACCTGCCGATGTTTGCGCTTCAACTCGAAGATGGAACAGTGCAAAAAAACTTACCCGTGAAAATCATTCTTGTTGGTGTAACAGTCCTAGGGAGAGAAAAAAATTATTCCAGCCTGGATTCGAAGTGCCTAGAAGCACTCACACATGGCAGCAATTAAAGGCTCCCGACTGTAAAGCAAGGGGATTGTAAGCCGGAAGCGCTGTTAAGACTCGGGCGAAGCAGAGTGAGGGGCTTTCACGAAGAGATTTGATCCCAAGGTGTTTGATGAATTCTTGGAGGAAATATCCGACCGCGGCGCTCGACATGCTTCCCTTGGGCGCAGAGAGCGCGTCAATCTTCGGTAAGAGGTTCTCGATATCATCAGATTGAAGTAACCCATTGCGCAAGAGAGCTTCAAGTTGGAAGACGATGGGCCAATCCCTCCTTCGAAACTCTGATTCTAGCTTGTAGAGTCGTTTAGAAGTGAAGAAGTTGCGCTGCAGAGCCTCGAGGGGTGCGTGTGGCGGCATTCGAAAGACCATATTCCGGGTGAACCCAGCTGCAAAGCAAAGATTGGTGAAGACTTGGATCATGTCCCGATTGTAGTCGTTGTAGAGGAGGAGACGGATTTGGTGGGCATAAGGAGCGACACGGAGGTGGCCAGGCTCAAGACTACCGATTCGCACTTTTGATCGACGACTATCGAATGAGTGGTTGCCCGTCAATGTCCGATGAAACTGAATGCCTTCAAGAATAGGTGGTGTTAGTGTGTCGAAACATATATCTGAGGCGATTGGTAAGATAAGGTCCGAGAAAGATTGTAGGGAGTATGCGAACAAGGTTTTGGGTCGAATCCGACTGCAAGCTTGGAGATGCTACCACAAAGTTTGATATTGTTAGTCCAATGAAGAAGCGGACATGCCTGGCAAATGTGACAATTACTAGGGCACCCTGGTATTCTGTCGTTTCATCGCCCAGCTAGAATGGATCAGCATGAACCTCTCGTAGGAGCAGGACACTTGCCCTGATCACGATTCGTTTGTGGTCATATTCAAACTTGAGCCACGCCACACCACTGGGTGGACCAGGGGAGTCACCTGGTCGCCGTTTGGATGGGGTAGTATTGAAATATTCCCTTTGCCATTCGATCGAGTACTCTCTGGGGGGTATCGGCTCGCCATCTTTTAAAGGGCGAGAGGGATATTGTCGGTAGTAACAGCCAAACTGAACCACGTCCACTCTTATTTGCTCTTCGAGTTCGTCGAGCTTACGCTGGTGTTCTCTTTCGATGTTGGGATCGACATACGGCGTCTTGGACAATATTGTCATCTCGTTGCCTAAAGACCCATGGCCCCGGAGCAGTTTGAGCTTATGTTTCCCAAGTCGTATCGAGTGGTCGAAGTCCGTCAACCATCGCAGCAGTTTCTCCCTGACATGCTCGCTTGGGAGCGACAACATGCCTGCTATACATCAGCGCCACGACTATTAAAACAACCGTGGGACGACTTGCCCGTCCCCTTATTTCGCGTGATTCCGATTGTGGATTCATCCAGCTTGACGCTAAAGTTAAGCAGCTTGCGATTTAAGCTCCCTGGTATGCGTGTTTCCTCATCGTGCCCAACTTCCTCGTCATCAGTGAGCCTGGCAAAAGTTCGAAAGTCGTCTGAGTGAAGGACGCTAGCCAGAGCGAGAGTGATGTCGTAGTTGTCTGCAGTAGTGGGGACATTTCGTAAAAGGACTTTGGCCATCGTATGCAGAGCCCAATAGCAATGAGTTTCGGCGCTTGTCGATGGTTGTAGGCTAGAGCCAACCCAGGCCACTCAAAGTTCGCCGCAAGTTCGCCATCAATGTGATCAAACACGCTTTCTCTGTTTCTCCCATGTTGTCCAACAAGCTCGACGCGTTATCATGGAATCTTGCCTCATTCATTGCAGCTGACGCATCCCAGTCAAAGGTTCCGTCCTTCTCCTCCAATCATCTTGTTGTCGTCGTCGTTGTCCTAATCGGCGTTCTCACATTCATCTCGCTGTGCAAGCCTCAGCCTCGACTCTCTCAAGTTACACCTCCAATAGTCCCCGTAAAGGCTCTGCTGTCCGTAATAACACCAACTGCCGCTGCATGGCCTGCAGATTACATCCAGCTCATCAATTACACGGCTTCTTCTCGCACCAAGACTATTTCGATTTCGCTCTCCAGTCTTATCGAGAACATCTGCCATCGCAAAATAGAGTTTAGAAACTATCAAGACCTTATCCACCTCTTCTCGGGAGCACTTGTGGTGCACGGGTGGCGGCTTGAGTTGGTGATAGATGGGGGGATCGGATCCAAGGTGTTTGGATGGGTTATTGGGAATTATTTTCAGTCCAAGGTATCGGCCTAGTGGCTGCCAAAACCATCATTGCTAACCATTCGCAAGTCTCCTCGTCGCCGCCAGTTGAAACGCACACATGGCTCCTCGTCGCCCAAAGGAAATATTCTCTTCAAACTTTTTCCCCTCAATGTCAATACTCATATCGACCTCGACTGCACATCATTCAGCCAAGTCGACTACGCTCTTGATAGCCTCCGTGTCGACCTTGTTCGTGATCAAACAGCTACACTCGAATTTACCACCCCCGCCTCATCGCTCGAGTTTCTCGGCAAAGACTTCATCATCTGTGCTATTTCTTTGATGTCCCGCAAATACGCCAAGGAAGGCAACAACCGCACCACCAGTTCACTCTTCTTAGACCTCAAGTATGTGCTACAATACCTGACGACCGGCGAAGAAGCACTCGTTCTCGATAGCCTAATCAACATCTCGAAGGAACACGCTGAAAAGCTCGTTGCGGCTGCTGACCGCCTTGATAAGGACAAGACTATCCGGACTGCGTTCGTTCACGAGTGGGGTATCGAGGGATATTCAGAAGAGCGTTTCATGCTGGGTTGGGAAGCGGCTTTGCTCTTGTCGGGGAAGCATTTGGCGCGCTGGAGGTTGGTGGTCCGGAAATGATGGGTTACAAATTTGTACATCCACTAAGTATAAATTAGCTATAAGATATCGGTGCTTGCACTGGGTTGTCGGTTTTTTAATCTTGGTCTTAAAGCCAGAGGACGGATCCAGAGCTTGAGGTAACCACCCCGCGTCGAGGTCAGTATGGATCGAGGAAGAAAGACCAGTGTCGCAAGGATTTCGCCCTCAATGGGTTTGACCTAAGCCCTTTCAGCAATCCAAGCTAACAACAAAGAGATTACATGCAAGACATGGTTGTACAACGGCTATTTCGTTTCGAGAAGGCGCCGGATGGTAACGGGGTAGTGGGACCTCTTCTGTTGGGAGGTAAAGCGTCGAGCGGTCTCGGCGGACCGCGAGAGAGACGGTTGACGCCATTGACATGCGTTGCTGGAGCGTTGGCTGAAATTTGGGACGATGCAAGGCTCCGCTAGAAAAGTCCCACTGTGAGGAACATCAAGACCCATATTATTCGAGGTTGGATGGCGTACCAGAATGAGCTTATTGTCTTCTCCCACGCTACCAAAACGATACGTCCGCCCGTCGCATCTGAGATCGTCAAATGCGACTGCAGAAACGAAGGACGAATGTCCTTGACATCGGGCTACAACCCGTTGCTCCCAGGGAGAGAACAAGGTAAGAAGATCGTCTTGACCTCCAGTGAGGATAAATCGACCATCTGGTGACCAGGCCACTGAGGTCAATGCCCCAAAGTATGAGGCATAACAATCCACCAGCCTGGTTAGCGTCAGTTGGGGATTTAACGCAGTCGGGAGTCACGCACTGTTCTGCGAGGGCATCAATTACCCTTAAACAGCCATCTTCTGATATCGCTGCGACGTGTTTAACATCAGGAGAAAACACGAAATCTGGAGGTAGAATCTTAGGTGGGCATCAATGAGAAAGAGGGCCTTACCAACTACAGAGCGTCTTGAGACACGCCAATGGCTAACAGGGTTCTTCGGAACCTTGTCAACCTTGCTCACGACCGGTCCATTGCTGGACGAGACTGGATGCCAAGGGGGCATTGTGACGAAGATACTGTCGATGGGATCCCACTCTTTTGACACTCGTTGGCCGTCTGGAAGTATTTCTATGGTTGCGCGAGAAGGGTCCTGCGGTGTGAAGCTTCCATCTTCACGGTCTCTGTCGTAAACGATGATCGTCCCATCCGCGTGAGCGACAAGAAAGAGTGTTGATGATGAGGGAACCCATCTAACGGCCGTGCAAGGTGAATTTGTGATGCTTCCCTGGGATGTAAGGTTGGGAAGGCGACCAGAGAAATGGAATATATGCGAACCTGTTTGTTTAGACGCGTATATCTGGACACTATTGGGTCTGAAAGATTGTCAGTCGATGTACCCGATAAAAAAACTTCAATGCACGCACCTAGCCAGATCAAGTCCCCTGTATTGAAGCCTATTATGACATCCAACCGTTCTGAGGAAGACGTAGACATGTTGACATCGTGGCAGGTAGGGTAGGCAGAGAATGTGATACGTGCCAACGGTTCCTACATGGAAATGAGACAAAAAAATAGAGCTGGTTTATGGGCGCACACACCTTGGCTTTCGCACCGGCTTCCATCCAGAGAAATGTTTTAGAAACGTTGTAGAAGAGGAACGTGACTTCGCCCTGCTTTGACTGCAACGACCTCGGAAAGCCCTCTGCATTCTGGAGCCGAGTTATAAAGGTGGAGGACGTTGTTCGGATATTGTGTTTGGGCCGCGAGAAGCCTTTCTTCTTCCCAACTGCAGGAGGACCCGCGAATAGCGGAGTTGTAGGTGGAATATTTTCCTGGGCCTGGCCATCCTCGTCAGGAGTGTCGCTGCTCGACACACTGACGCTATCCTCCTTCGCCTTCTCCTTTCTTGAGTCCTTATTTCCCCCGAGTAGCTGAACAAAAGCAGCTCCACCTCCAGACTTTGCGTGAAATCGGACCGCAATAGTTGATACGCGGGTTGGATGGAGGGCGGGCGTGGATATAAGATGAGGTAGAAGCGAGGGCTTGTGCTCCTCAGTGACGGAGTAGACGCCTTCTGGAGCGACGAATGTCGATTCGTTCTCCATCGAGATGGCCGTCAAAACTCAAGTTGGTCACCCTATGTGGGTACCCCGCTCGGATCTAAAACCAGTCTCTTTCTCCTCCGCTCATGCTGGCCTCTAGACGTTTTGCGAGTCGCCCGCTTACCTCCTTCCTTGTCCGTCTATAATTTCATTTCCAGTTGGAGCGCTGCTAACTGTTTCCTTAGCGCCGCAATTCCACCGCTGTCGAACCACCACCAGCCGGAGGCCATCTACCTTCTATTGCCACGTCTCAATATCTTCGTTCCACACGAGAGAGGGCTTTACATACCCCTGGCCTACAATGGAACGATGAGGATGATCCGAATGCAATCCTCGGCGCTGAAAGGGAAACTCGCAAAATGAACCTCTACCAAGCCGTTCGTGATGCCCTTAGGCGCGTCGAACTTTCATTTCATTTACCTTCTGGCTCACCGACGTCTAGCATTGCCCTCACCAAGGACGACAACGCGGTTGTATTTGGGGAAGACATCGCGTTTGGCGGAGTATTTCGTTGCACGATGGTAGGAGAGCCGTTTTTCGACTCATCGTTGGGCTCAATGTTTACAGGGCCTCGCTGAAGAGTTTGGTGTGTAGTTCAGCCCTTGGAAAGTCTACGTATTCAGATTATAGGTCGTGAACGGGTATTCAACACACCGTTGACGGAACAAGGCATTGCTGGCTTCGGTATGTGTGCGGTCTACGCCTATAACTCGTTCTCATCGACAAAAGCGATTGGAATGGCGGGTATGGGGCATACTGCTATTGCGGAAATTCAGTTTGCGGACTATATTTACCCCGCATTTGATCAGGTTGATTATCTTGACTTCTTCGTTGTGTCAGCGATGCTTAAATCTCGCTTAGCTCGTCAACGAGGCTGCGAAAATCCGCTATCGCTCTGGCGGCTCGTTTAACGTCGGTGGGCTCACGATCCGTACGCCGACCATGTCTGTTGTGCGTTGTTTACTATTTTCCCATTCCCATCTGAACAACGCAGGGTCATGGTGGTTTGTACCATTCGCAATCGCCTGAAGGTTTCTTCATGGGTGCATCTGGTCTCAAGGTGTGTGTCCAGCACATTAGCAGACACCTAATCAAACCTATACCAGATCGTGATACCGCGTTCTCCGCTCCAAGCGAAAGGCTTGCTTTTGAGTTCGATTCGCGACCCCAATCCCGTTATTTTCATGGAGCCCAAGATTCTCTACCGTTCCGCCGTCGAACAAGTTCCGATGGACGACTTCACACTCCCACTCGGGCGGGCTGAAACTCTTGTGTCGGGCACTGATCTTACGGTACTGTCTTGGGGCACGCCAATATACCACTGTGAAACGGCTCTCGGTATGCTGGCAAACCCACCGGCAGGTATTGCCCCGCACGTGCCAGAATCCCTCCGAAAAGCCAAAATCGAGCTCATCGACCTTCGCTCTATACTACCTTGGGACGCGGAAACCGTTGCTGAGAGTGTCAAACGGACGGGCCGGTTGGTGATCGTTCACGAGGCCGGGATGACAGCAGGCGTTGGCGCAGAGATCGCGGCTGAAGTGCAGAAACGGTGCTTCCTCAAACTTGCGGCTCCGGTGAAGAGGGTGACTGGTTGGGAGTGGGTATTTTTTTTCTCAGGTTGAAGCGCTTGACTAACTAATTGTTAGTACGCCTGTGGCATTGCAGTATGAAAAGTTCTACATCCCAGACGCCGTGCGGATATTAGATGCGATAGTCGAGACTCTGTCGTATTAATGTATTATATTCTACAATCCAGTGGTCAGAATGCTTGGGCACTGTCAGAGTAAGTCAACAAGTTTCATCGTCATTTTGAAGTACTACTACAGCAGTTTGGCGGTGGTCAGAAGCTAAAATCAAGTTGAATGCAGGCTGTGTCAAGGTGACCGCCGCAAAATGCTTGATGATGGTGACGAAGAATCTCGGTAACCACAACGATGGACAGAAAACGGATGACCCCTGCCCGGATTGAACGGACGACCTTATGGATGCGACGCAAAGTCAACACACTGGAATCATACATGCTACCACTACACCAAGGGGTCGTGAAAGCTGTGAATCTAATTACCTATGAAGTCACCATCGATTATATAATCTAACCGCTCCTTGCTCAAACAGCTCAGCCGAGTTTAAGCCCTAACTGATTGACATCAAGGCCAAAAACTACAGTGATCTTCCAGTAAATTCTAGCAAGCAGATCACAACAACTTTCCCATCACTAGTATTTGGGCAGGAATCTGATGGAGCACATGAAAAAGTTGTTGTGATTTTACTCCTACTTTATATATATATATAGATTGTAGCAAGGACTAGAAGTCACAAGAACAACAATGGGAAAAGAGTTAAAGCTATCTTTTGCATGTTTTTCTGTAACTTATGTAAGCAATGCAGTTTTTCACTTACATGGCTAATATGATGTTTATACATAATACTAATATTTACTGTCACAGAATCTCTGATAGATTATTGTGTTCACACTGAGAGTATAACATTACTATAGACTTGATGTGCTAGCTGTCCAGATCACACTGTGTAGGCTCCAACATAGGAGAATTGTGATGCTTCATCTATATATGAATCGAAGAAGAGATGAGCTATTGATAGCATGTTACATGGGGCACAGTACAGTGTTATGATAGCTGTTTTCTAACTCTTGTCATATCGTAGACCGCCACTTCGCTATATACCTTGCTTGCCGACGACTATCGCTGCACAATGGCGGAGTGGTCTAACGCGACAGATTCGAAAAGGAAATTTTCATCTGTTCCTCTTTGAGGGCGCATGTTCGAATCATGCTTGTGTCGGTTGATGAGTTCTTTTGTTTCATTTTGTTTTACCTTCCAAACCTCACTATGCATCTTGGAGGATCTTTTTCCATTCCGTCTGCCTCCACACCAATGCCTGCTTTTCTAGTCATTGGTTCGTAAGTTGTTCGCTGCCTTTTGATCCGTCTGGAACTCTCGGCTTACCTACAATTGATCATCATGGCATTTTCACTCACTTCACTAACCAATAACCCGACACTCCAGATGTATCAGCCTACGTTTCAAGCTCAGTTCGATTGGGCTAACTTAGGACTTGTGTTGTCCGCGTGAGGGATAATGACACATCTCTTCATCCAGAATGTTGGTTATAACAAACGGGTGGAGCGCCTTCCCCATATTAACCCTTCCTGGTGTTGTCTGCCTCCTCAGACTACTTCATGGCGCCGGCGTCCGAGTCATCGTTGTCGCTGCCCATCGACAAGCCGCCTCCAGCGAAGCTGGCACTTACGGTCGAGGTCGATTTCGAGAAGCAGCTCCCCGATGTCCCACCCCTCCTCACACCCCAACGGAAAGTCCGGCGCGCCTCTCCCCTCATGTTCCTGAAGAAGACCGTCAAGAAGTCCAGATTAACGTTCACGAAGCAACCGGACAGTACAGCCCCCGCTGGCCTGCGGTGGCATTTCATCTTCCCAGCATTGATCATCTCCTTCCTCGTCTTCGTTGTCGCGACTGCTCTCCTTCTCTTTGTCACCTTTGGACGCTCTTCCATTGCCACCGCTCTTGATCCTTGGGCAATCCATGTCTCACGACTACCACAGCTCGGTCTGATGATAACGACAGTTTCAGTGAGTCTTTCTTCACACATGTCGAAAAGTCTCCAACTGAACTTTTCGACTAGACACATATGGTCGCGATCAGCGTCCCGTTTCTCGTATCGGTTATGGCTTACTGCGTTGCTGGGAGCTGGATCGACGAGCAAAAGTCGGCCAATACCGCACGAAGAGTTACCCCTACCCCGCTCCAGTGCGTTTCCCGATCCTCCCAGTTTGCTTGAGATGTTAATGAACCTACTAGATACGCCTACATTGTCAAACTGCTCACAACCGCAAGCATAACATCTGTTTTCGAGGCTGGGCGGTATATAAACGCTGCTAAGAACCACATCCGGATTCCCCGCGCTTTTTACTTGGCCCTAAGACTGACAAGCACCGTTTTGGGGTTGTCCTTCCTGCTTATGTCCGTTTCCCTTTTTTTCTCGTTCTTTTGCCGACTGTTTACCTACTCAACAGTCTTGCTGATGTCTGGCTTCACGCTACTGTCTCTGTGGTGTCCATTAGTCTCATCCCCTCGTCGCTGGCAGTGGACGAGAACCGCCGCACCGCCTTTGGCATCGTTTTCAACGAGTCTGTCTGCGCATTCCAAGGAAGCGCCTGTCTCGACGCGGGCTGGGCATCAGGCGAGCCCTGGATCGTTCAAAAAGGGCTCCGGGTCGCGGCCAACACCTCCGAAGACTTGGCCGTTGTTACCATCAACGGCACCGCGGTTGTCATCCCCTCCGCCCGTTTCAGCGACCTGCAATTTCCGTCGTTTGGACTTCGTGCCGAGTGCAACAACCTCACGCCCAGCTGTGTTTCCCCGAATAACCGACCAACCGAATGTTCCGCTGCCGGTGACAGTATTGCTGGCTCCAGTTCAAGCTCGAGAAGCGCTCGCCCCAGTAGCACGTCAGCATCTACCGTCGTCACCCCCACACCTTTGACACAGATCGTTGCGACTAGCGGTCTTAATTCCAACCCGCAGAAGGTTGTCTTGCAGCTCAATTGGAGTAACTCCACCTTGTCACCGGCAAATCCTGCCGTTTCCAAATCAAGCGCGGGAGACGTTTTGGCCTGGGCCTCGTGCGATTTGACGCTCTACAATATCACGGTCGAGCAAACTCGGGGCGTGTTTCGAGTCGGAGACCAGCCCACGTCCGCAAACCCCGCCTTTGCGGGCATCATGCACGGACTTTTGCTCTCGCAAGTCGGCAATTTGCAACTGCTGTCGAGCCTCCAGGTCGGTGACGTTCTTCAAATAAATGATCCTGAACTGACCTGCTTTAGGCGACGATGCTGTCAGCAACGGATGAACCATCAGCGATGAACGCAATGAACCAAGCACTCGGCCAGCTCGCCCTCTCCCTGTTTACAGGCACCCTCCAACTCGATCCGACTCTAATTCGCCGCAACAACCCCATCACCCAATCGCTCGCGCCCGCATCCTCCGCCCTGCTTACTCGCTATCCGCTTACGCCGCTTGCCGTCTACCTTGTCCTCCTCTACACCTATGCATTCGCCGCCTTCGCCGTCTTTGTCTATGCCGCCCGTCTCCGTGCCCCAGTCGTGCCAAGACCTGGTCAGCGCCCCGCCAACACCATCCAGCTGACTCAGCTCCGTCTAACCGATCCCCTGGCCCACATTGCCGCGCTCTACCCGCCGCCCCGACAAGCGCCCGCGCCAGAAGATCTGCGAGAGCTCTTCCTCGAAAGCGAAGACGCAGCACGACTCGAAATCGGCATCCAGTCCGCGCCGAAAGACCACCGATCGTGGCTGGCCGGCATGGTCCAGCAGCAACAACCTGTTTTCGGTATCTACCGCAGGTCCGGGCCCTGGAGTTCTCTGGAAATTGCTTGATTTTTTGACTATTTATTTGACTGGGTTTTACGACGAAATTATTTATTTACAGTACCTCTTTGCATATTGCTACATACACAGTCTTTTACTAGTTTTTGGGGTTTTCCACACACATTCGTCTGTTTATATAGGCAGTTTACAATCCCAAAGTTGCTTTCCGCCTGTGATTGAGTAATCAGTGCAGGAAGAGTGGTCTTGGAGAAAGACGCAAACTTCAGCAAATCTGCGATGTCATTTTGGTAGTACTCGTTGTCGCGACTGATTTTTCGTATGGGATAGGCCTCGTTGATCTTGGCCTCGGTGAAGTTTGCTTTCTCTGTGAATACGAGCCAATCCAGCAGGTAGAAACAGCCCCGCTCCAGTGTTTGCTCGACCTCTTGCACGTCGTGGGAAAGTTGGACCTGCAAGATGCGGCTGACCATTGCATCTGGCCACTCATTCATCTGGCTGCGCAAGCGCATTCTTTCGGGAACACGAGTGTAATCTGACACATATGCGGACGAAGCGGCGTCGTGGGAATAGCTCAAGAACTAATCGTGATTCAAGAAACACCGAAACGGGGAGCGAGAACAGTACCTCGACCAGAAAGTTGTATGGCACGTACATGCTGATAAGCGTGACGCCTGAGAGGAGCGAAATCGGTACTTTTCTGAGGGTGTGGTGGAATTCGGCACAGGAATTTGCGTATGATTGGTAGGGCGAAGGGGCTTGAGGACGAGACACAGTTGAAAAGGTTGAAGCACTTCCTTTAGCCCCAAATGAGGGAGAAAACGCGTCAGAAACTCACGATAGTCGACGGCGCGGGGTATTTTCTGGACAATGACCTCGTTTTCAAAGACAATCGCAAGACGGTCTTCGTGGTTCAACGGGTTGACGATGGTGCTGAAATTGGACAAGTATAGGCGAACATGATCTTCGACTTGGAGTTGTGCGTTGGTCGAAAGAAGTTTTTTGACGATATGCGAGGGGAATTTAGCTTGGAACGAACTTGTGGGAGCGTCGAGCAGAGTAAGGGTCAGGGTCAAGTGGGTGGTGGTCTGGTCATAGCGCGTGATCTGGGCGTCGACGGAGTCGTCAGCGAAGATGCGAGGGAGCAAGAAACAGGCTTTGTAGTTTTTGACGCGCTTTGTAGCAGGGAGGTCGCTGGTGGACGGACGTTTGCTGGTCGTCGTCATGGTCGTGATCAAGCCGCAAACGCGTGACGTCACATCATGATGCGCGAGGCTCGTGTTCGTATTAGGACCCTTGATTATGCCATATGAGGTCGGATTCTGAAATTGGCTTTGGCAAAAATCTGTCCGGATTTCTTGGACATGAGATGGCCAAAGATTTATCCGGATTTGGAACAGACCTGGCCCAAATCGCTAAAATCTGTCCGGATTCCGGTTCAACCTCTAAGATCATCAAAGCGATCAAAACCTGTCAAAAATATCCATACTGCCTCTAAAAGTACTTTTTGCCGCTTTTCCTCCCTAAATTCGGAGAATTATTTAAATTTAGCCTAAAGTTGTGTCACACTATGATGAGCTATGATGTTTGCTCTGTTTTCAGTCCAAAGTTGGGTCTTTTGTCCGGATTATGATCCAACCTATATCACGTCGAGAAGGCTTGTCCGGATTTTGGATTCGACCTTTTTGGTTTGGGACAGTTTTTTGTCCGGATTCCGGTCAAACCTTCCTCTGAGATCTCAAAAATTTGTCCGGATTCCGGGATCTGACCTCACATAGCATAATCAAGGGTCCTTGAATATTTGAATGGAATACACCTCACTGACCATTCTGAAGTGACAAACCTGGACCTGTACACCTTGAACCGCCATCGTCCGAACTCAAGCAAGAGCCAAGAGAGCTCTTCGCGCAGCACAAGAGGCCCTGGAGTTTGTTCCCTGGAAATTTTTGACTGTTGATTTCACCAGGATATGGGTTTTGCGACAGACTGTTTATTTGCACTTTGCTGGCCAGCCGCCATTCCTGTGGTTGGAGCCAGTGGAACCTCCGATAGGTGAATGACACAGTTGTACCTAGGTGTCAGGGGAACCTCCCTTTCGGCCCGGAGACGCGCCCGATTCCGGTCCGACTCCGCTTCCGACTCCGGTCCGGCCCTCCATCTCGCCCGCACAATCACCGATCCGTCAACGCCCTCCCGACGGTCGCCCTGGGACCTCGCCTGCGACGCCGCCCAAGCCTTCTGTGCCCGACAGCGGCAGCTACGGACAAGCAGTATATAGTCAGCTACCGAGCAGGCGGACCCTTAGAGTTTCTTCTCTTTGGATCCTCCCCTGCTAGGTCAGCTTCATTTGTATTCGCTTACCAATGTTCACACTTTGGATCCTCCCCTGCTAGACCTTGATCTCAGGCCTCCGGGGTTGCCCTTACAGCAGAAGAAACTCTCTACGGGATCAACCGGACAAGATTGCCAGGTTCGGCGCTGACTCAGGCTCGGAGTACGAGTCCGTTCCGCCCTCGTCACCGCCCCTGCCACTTGTCCCCTCCTCCTCTACTCCTGTGGTCCCCGCACCCGTCATGCCGTCCGGAGTCACTCCTACCGCAGACGCCCGGCTGGACTCACTCGAGGCGAAAATCGATAGCCTAACTGAGGCCCTTGCTTTACTCACCAACCAGGCTTCCGCTGCCGCTGCCGCCGCTAATAATGCTGGCGGACCCCAAACACCTTCGCCAGAGACGTCGATTCCGACTCCGACTCCGGTCCAGGGCGACTCCGAAGCCCTTTTTAGCGACATCAACCTCGCCTCAAAATTGGTCTTGCGACCAAACCCCCCGTTCACCTTCAACGGCGACCGGAAACGGCCGCCGCGCGTTCCTTTACGCGGTCGGCACCTACCCCCGCCTTGCCCCTGAGGCCTTCGTGGTCAACGGAGAGGCGAGCGAGGAAAAGGCTGTCCGCTATGCCATGTCGTTTATGGCAGAAGGACCCGCTCAGCAATGGGTGGAGCGCCACGGAAGCAAAGCCCCGTTTCCGTTTCCGTCCTGGGGCTCGTTCGTTTCCGAGTTTCTGTCAGGGGAACCTCCCTTTCGGCCCCTCGGAGACGCCTCCGATTCCGGTCCGACTCCGGTTCCGTCTCCGGTCCGGCCCTCCATCTCGCCCCGCACAATCACCGATCCGTCAACGCCCTCCCGACGGTCGCCCTGGGACCTCGCCTGCGACGTCGCCCAAGCCTTCTGTGCCCGACAGCGGCAGCTACGGACAAGCAGTATATAGTCAGCTACCTAGCAGGCGGACCCTTAGAGTTTCTTCTCTTTGGATCCTCCCCTGCTAGGTCAGCTTCATTTGTATTCGCTTACCAATGTTCACGCCTTTGGATCCTCCCCTGCTAGGACCTTGATCTCAGGCCTCCGGGGTTGCCCTTACAGCAGAAGAAACTCTCTACGGGATCAACCGGACAAGATTGCCAGGTTCGGCGCTGACTCAGGCTCGGAGTACGAGTCCGTTCCGCCCTCGTCACCGCCCCTGCCACTTGTCCCCTCCTCCTCTACTCCTGTGGTCCCCGCACCCGTCATGCCGTCCGGAGTCACTCCTACCGCAGACGCCCGGCTGGACTCACTCGAGGCGAAAATCGATAGCCTAACTGAGGCCCTTGCTTTACTCACCAACCAGGCTTCCGCTGCCGCTGCCGCCGCTAATAATGCTGGCGGACCCCAAACACCATCGCCGGAGACGTCGATTCCGACTCCGACTCCGGTCCAGGGCGACTCGAAGCCCTTTTTGGCGACATCAACCTCGCCTCAAAATTGGTCTTGCGACCAAACCCCCCGTTCACCTTCAACGGCGACCGGAAACGCGGCCTGCGTTCCTCTACGCGGTCCGCACCTACGCCCGCCTTGCCCCTGAGGCCTTCGTGGTCAACGGAGAGGCGAGCGAGGAAAAGGCTGTCCGCTATGCCATGTCGTTTATGGCAGAAGGACCCGCTCAGCAATGGGCAGAGCGCCACGGAAGCAAAGCCCCGTTTCCGTTTCCGTCCTGGGGGCTCGTTCGTTTCCGAGTTTCGACTCCGGTTCGTCGAGGAGAATGAGCAAGATCACGCTCTCTCCAAGCTGGAGACTTCCGCCTATCACATGGGTACAAAGGATGTCTACCAGTACACCGACGACTTCGAGGACCTGATGGACCTCGCCGGATTCGAAGACGCTGGTCAAGGTGACCAAGTTCCGCCACGGACTTGACCCCCTGATCAATAACGGAATCACGTCCTCGAACGACCCCCGGACCTCCGGGACTACCTTAGCTGGCGCACCCGGGCCTTCCGTCAATACGAGGCCCTGGTCCGGGCCAAGCTGATCAAGTCAGCCGCCCCCAAGACGCCTGGCAGTTTGATTCGGACTCCGTTTCCGGTCAACCGCATCCCGGCTCCGGCCCCTTTCCGCCCGGTGGCTCCGGTCGTGCCACCCGTGGCCCGCGCCCCCGCTCCGGCGCCTCCAGCTCCCGTCCCCATGGAGTTGGATCGCACTAGGCTCGGGGTGCCCCTCGTCGCGCCTGCTTCAGGTGCGGCGACCCAAACCATCTCGCCGGGATTGCCCCCTCCCCGCCGATGTCCGCTCAATGGACATCCTCGACGAGGTGATCCAACAACTCGGTGACGAGATGTTAGCGGAGTTGATCGCCCGCTACACGGACACAGCTGCCCTGCCGGAGACGGCAGCGGAGTCGATGGCCGGAGAGGATTTTGTCCCCGCGACGAGTGACTGGTGTGCCCTCGTTCGCGTCTATAAATCGTTTTGCCTCCTTGTATGATGAATGCAGTTCCTTGCCCTACAATGAGCCCGAAACGAAAGACACACCCCTCTCCCGCCCCCGCCTCGACTCCGTCTCCGACTCCGCCCGCGACTCCGGTCATCGTCCTTCGCCGCCTCACTGCCTGGGAAGAGAAACTGCCCAAGCAGTACACCGTTGCCGCTGCCCCTGGGGCGAACTCCCTCCACCTCCCGTTGGAGCTTGAGTCCACCACCAGCGCGCTGAAGCTCTCACTCTCTGGGCTTGTCGAC